TTTTTTTTTTTTTTTTTTTTTTTTTAGAGAGAGAGTGGAAGGGAGGGGTAGAAATAGAGAAACATCGATGTGAGAGAGACACATTGATTAGTTGCCTACTGCACATGCCCCAACCAGGGCTGGGGATCGAGCCTGAAATCTGTACTCTTGACCAGAATTGAACCTGGGACCCTTCAGTCTGCAGGCCAATCCTCTATCCACTGAGCCAAACTGGATAGGACCATTAAATATATTTCAACAAGATATTATTAGCAGTTGAGCATTTCATTTTATGGGTGTGCCATAATGTATTTAGCAATTGGTGTTCACTTACGTTGTTCCTGAGTTGTAAGCATATGTGATAAATGACTCTACAACGAGTACCCCTGCAGTGAAAACCTGGCAGCCATCTATAATTTTTCCTCCTAACAGGCATCAGGATGTCTCATCCAGAGCTGTTCATCTCCCCACACATTCATCACCCATAAAAAAACAAAAACCTCCTTTGTCACTTTTAAAAGCTGGTGTCAATAGTAAAGTCTCAAATGGACAAAGGGCTTCTTTAAATGCGGCCCCATCACCTGCTGAGGGCACTTCCCCAACTGTGTCTTCTCCAACAGGGGCTTTCACACTCGCTGTTTTATCTCAGAACTTGGTTGGGTTGCATTTCAATATAAACAGAAGTTCCAAAGGTCACCTTAATCACACACATAGGAGGGCAAATCACCTTTGAAACACTGAAGGCTGGGACAGAAAAGCAATAGGGGTAGCTTGATGCCATGGAAATGGGTGTAATCAGACCTACTGAGTCTGAGATTGGTCTGTGGTCCCATCAGGGGTAGTAGATGCCTGAGCCTGTCCTCACCCACCTTCCAGGGCTGGCTGCAGCCTGAGACCCAGAGAAGCTGTGAGCGAGCATGTGATGAGCCTATGGCACTAATGGAATGGATGATTGCTGCCAAATGATTCACCCTCATGTTTCTCTGCTGACTGCTTGGGTCAGGGCCCCGGGGTGCAGCACCTGTTATCCGTGGGTGGGCTGGGGAGAGCCAATTATGGGAACGGGACACGAGGTCACAGGAGTGAGATGCTGTGTCACAAGGGACCCATTCTGTCCTCTAGCCAGTCCCAGTCCCCTTACCTCTTCTGTGTTTTCCTAATGTTTGATTTCTTAATATGCACATCCTCCTCCTCTCAAAACAACAGCTAGAGGGCATTTGCTTATTTCTTAAAGTAGAGCAACATTCATTTCATTGCACACCTGGCTATGTTATGACTGGAGTTAGTCATGGTGTCTGGACACTGACCTTGAGAACGGAAGGCCTGTTAACCTAGGAAAGGCAGTTCTGACCTCATTATTATTGTCACGGCACTAAAAGCACGCCTTAATTCCTCTGCATATACCCTCATTTAACCCTCACACCCCTCTGTGAACTAGATGTTCCTAGCCCCATGTTCCAGATGGAAACATTAAGTCTCAGAGAGGTGAACTGACTTACTTACAGCCTCACCATTGACTTGTATTCTGGTCCAGCTGACCCCAGGTCTGTGCTCTCACCTCATTTCTACCCCTTGGAAGTGCCTCTGGCCCCAGAGAGCCACAGAGGGAAGGGGGCAAAGAGCACTGGGCCTAGAGTCAGAACATCTGGCTTTGGGTCCTGGATTTCCTTCAAATTGATTGTGTGGCTGAGGGCACCTCACTGCACCTCCCGGGGGCCTCCGAATCTCATTGTCAGTTGAGGAGATTGGATCAGACAATCTCTGAGATTCCTCAGTTCAGGCTTGTTTGGTGGGAACAGAAAGCCTCTCTGGTTTAATGGAACCAGACCCTGCAGCCCAAGAGGCTGGGGCTCTCCCAGTGAAGGTGGGGCTAGCACCAGACCTGCAGCCCCCTCCCTGGAACTGCATGGGCCACCACTTCCTCCAGCTTCCCATTGAATTCTGTGTCTCTGAGAACTGGGTTTATTTTTCTACTGATCAGCTTTCTCTGCTTCTTTGGCTGATGGTGGCAGATGCCTCTCCAGCTCCCAATGATGAGGCCTTAGTTCTGGGGGCCAGCTGAATCTCACCGAATTCCAATTCTGAATTCCCACGGAAAGAAACTTGCTTGAGCAAGTTGGTTTGGATATCCACCTCGACTGCCCTTTGCCTTTACACAGCTCTTCAATGACTTGGCCACTTGGCCATTTAGAGTTTCCTAACTTCTCACTGGTTACAACCTGTGTATGCCTGTCCTCTCCATGAAGCTCGTTGGTTTCTAAAGGCAGCACTTAACTCATCTTCATCTTCATCCTCAGCATGAAAGTCGGAGCCCTGCACAAGAATTGTCACCTGAACTTTTGCTGCCTCCCGAGTGATTCATGTGTTGGCCCCATCTTGACCCCCTTTAGGACTGTGGCCTTCGCACTGTGGGCATCCCTGAAGAGTCCCAGGGGACTACCCACTCAGGTCCCTCAGGACCAAGCAGGTTTGGGGGAGGGAGGGTGAACTCAAGAAAAATCTCCCAACTCCTCAGATTTCCATCCCAGATCATGTCTGCAAATGGACACACAGGACTGTGACCTGTACTCACACTGGCACATAAATGAGGGAGACTTGATTTTGTGGCCACATTTCCGCTTATGCGTTTCCAAACCTAAGCAGATGCCAGCTTTAAGAACTAAGACAAGGTCATCAGGGAACCAGGTCTGCCAAGCTGAGCTAAAGTGCCGAGTCTCCTTTGTGCATATTATTCTGCAGTGCTTGTCAAGCCCGAAGGCAGTGGCAGTGGTCTCTGCAGTCCTTGGCCCTTGACCATCCCCAAGCTCCTCCAGGCCCCAGTTCCACATCATCCAACTCAGAGGCAACAGAAGGACAAGCGTGTGTGTTGAGGGGGCGGTCTGCCCGGCTGCAAACAGCTGTCCCACCTGTCCTTGGGAATGGACCTTCAGGGAGCCACAGCCCTTCATTCCTGCTGACGCTGCACATGGGCTAGCTTCGCTGGTGAGCTTGTGCTTTTTCTGTAGGTCTCAATGTCACCTCATCTAGAATGAAATTATACTAATCTTGTCTCTTCTGCCAAAGATGCTATTCCTAACCTGTGTACCGAGCCTCTTGGGGGTCTCCCCAGCCTACATGCCCCCACTTCTTTGTAACACAGAACCCAGTTGATCAGACCAAGGTGGATATACAACCCAACCTGCCCAATTAGATTTCTTTTTGGAATGAGTGTCCAAGAGAGAGCAAAACAGACATAGTCACATGTCTTTTATGACATAATCTTGGAAGCCACACAGCATCATCTCTGCTGTATTCTATTCTTCAGAGGCAATCACTATGTCTAGCTCTCATTCAGAGAGAGGGGATTCAGTCTCTTCTTGAAAGGGTATCAAAGGATTTGTGGGCCTATTGGAAAATCACCACAGCCCAGAACTGAACAATGAAGTCTTTCCAAATGTTTGGGGGTTTGGTAGTCAAAGGATAGCATCTGGGGAGTCCCCTGCAATAGGCAAAATAACAACCCCTAACGATGCCCGTGTTTTAGAACCTGTGAATATGTTATGTTACACAGCAAAGGGAAAGAAGTTTGTTCATCAACTGACCTTAACGTAAGAGGACTATCCGGCATTTCCAGCTTGGCCCAATGTGGTCACAAGGGTGCTTAAGAGTGGGCACCGGAGGCAGAGGAAGAACCAGGATCAGAGTGCTGTGAACTGGACTGGCGCCATTGCCGGTTTTGAAGAAGGAAGAGGCTGTGAGAGAGGATGCAGGCAGCCGCTGAAAGCTGAAAAGGCAAGAAACATTCTCCCCGAGAGCCTTCCGAAAGAGCACAGGTGGCCACTGCCTGGGTCTCAGCTCAGAGAGACCCATTCTGTGTTGACTCCAGGCACTGAATGCGTGGTAATCTGTTACCACCGCAGGGAACAACACAGGGCTATCCCTGGCCTTCTCCCATTCCTTTCCTGCCCCATTGATGCTTACATCACATGCTTACAACCACTGTACCAATTTACTTAGGGTCCAGATTTTCATTGTACATGTTTACCATCTCCTTAAAACTATAAAGGCAAGGCTTACATTTTATTGTTTTTTTAAAAAAATATATATACATATATACACACACACACACACATTCATACACACACACACACACACACACACACACACACACACACAGCAACAGTCGCCAACCGGTGGTCCGTGGACCCACTGGTGGTCTACGAGGTCTGAAAGGTTGGCGACCCCTGGTTTAAAGCACCCAATACACCGCTCATTACTGTGTAGCCATGACCAGTTATTTATTAGACTGTCTGAAAGCCAAGGCAGCCAATCTGGCAAAGAGATGAAACAGTCAAGAGCTGGTGTTAAATAAAATACGAACTCCCATGAGTTTCTCCATCAAACTGGTGCCAAGAAGCACACCCATGGCAGGAGAGTACACTGAAATCCTGTTTTCTCTGTATCTTTCTTTGCTCTCATTTTTAGCTAGCAGCCAAGCTTCATTCTCCCCGAGGTAGAGGATTTGAGGCAGGACAGAGGGTAGCTGGGGGAGGTCACTGGCTCATCCCCACCTTTGCAATGACCTAAGGCCTCTGAAGGGATGGATATGTGTCCTTTCTGTGGAGAGGCGGGAGAAATCTGCTAGAAGACAAGGAGTGTGGATCCTCAGTGCCCAAGGTGACCACTGGGCACCGGGTCCTGAGTCCTGCGCACTAGACTCTGGGCCTGGGGGTTCCCCACATTACCTCAAACTCTCAGGTTTCCCTCCACACACACATACAATGCAAGAGCCACAAACATGGAGGGAGTAGTTGGATAGGGCAGTGGGGGTGTCTCCTGTGGCTACACAGGAAGGTGACATCTCCAGGGCCTCTCCTCTCTTCTGACCTGGAGCCTTTGCAGAATAAGGTGGAGCAGAGGGGACAGTAGGGAGAGGGGATGACCCCAAGGATGACCAAGACAGAATTTCCCATGAATCCACCAGGAAGCAGGAAGAGGAACTGGAGAAAAAGGAATTGATACTCGAGTTTGGTGACACCTCCTTTGGCTTTCAATGAAGATTTTAATCTGGTGGCGGGAGGCCTGAGGCGGGGTGGTATGGAAGGGGCAACAAGCCTCTACTGTGCAGCTCAAGGAGTTGGGGGAGGATGAAATGGCGCTCTGGTGGGTTCCGGTTCCGTGGCAGCACTAAGTTGGAAGCATGTCCTCGATCATGTAGAGGTTGTAGCACAGATACATCAGAATGCAGCTCCAGATGCCAACGATGAGGAGGGTGCCCAGGCCCGGTGTGGTCTCCTGCTGGATGGGGAGAAAGGCAGGAGTCTGAGGCAAGGTCAGATCAGCAGCTGGCGAGCACCCTCCCCTCCATGGGAGCCTCCGGGCAGCCGCCTCCAGGCTAGGCTACCCAATCCTCCTTCCTGGTGCCATGTTCTCTGAGACTGAGGGGATGTGGTGGGGGCAGAGCCTGCGTGGGCACAGGTAAGGTCTGATGCAAATGCAACCTGAGCCTCTGCCTTGGGGATGACGGGGCACCCAACTGAGACAAGGCACATTTCGTATGGATCTACCTACCCCTGATTGTGGCTGTTCTTTAGGGCACACAACATACATTTCTCCTGTAGAGGACAGAAACAGCACAAGAAAGATCATTTTTCCCTGGTCCAAGATGGCCAGACTGCTGGGCACCTCAAGTTTTGCTATAGGAAAGGACAGAACAACACAGTGGCACTTGGGGCAGACACATCCAGGATTGAGGCCTATAGGGCAAGACTCCGGAGAGGACTTCAGGCTTCAGGGCCTCCCCAGGACTGCAGAGGGATGCAATCCTTACAGCAAAGGGTTTCAGTCAGGAGGGCCCAGGGGGAGGGGAGGCAACAGCAGGAGCCCAGGGTACAGCTCTCCAGCAGGGTGGAGGTGCGGGGGGAGGTGGCGAGCTTCACTCACATAGCAGGTCCCACATTGAAGGGAGTCCAGTGGGTCCTTTCTGAGTTTCTGTAGTGCCATATTCTTCTTGTGACTACAAAGCGATGCTCCTTCAGCTCCCTCCAGTTTCTTGAACAGGTGCTGTGATTCTATGTCAGGCTTTCCTATCTGCCCGAGTTCCTGATGCTCCTTTGGTCCTCTTCTAAGGGGACTGGGGGAGTCAGGGAGGAGCAGAGTTGGGGAGACAAATTCCAACATGACAAGGAGATACCCATAGCACGGGTGGCTGTGGAAGGCCTTGACTCCAAGCCATTGGGGCCACAGAAAGCAAGACAGCTCCTCAAAGGGTATGAAGACCGAGAACATTTAGCAACGTGAAGGGGGAGATTTTTTAGGGACGAGGAGAAGTGGGTGCAGGTTATACTTACAGCTTGCTGTTTTTCTGTATATTTATTAAAACATCCATCTTCTCATCCATATCCTTCTGCATTTCCTTCAAGAGAGAATTCAGAGCTAGACTCTACATCTTAAAGGGCGTTCGAAGCCCCCTTCTCCTGCCTCTCTGCAAATCACTCAGAGATCACACCTCAGCATTGTACTTCCTCAGAATCCTCACCATCCTTGAGTGAGAGGGTTTATGAAGTGCAGCTGACATGGACTGCTTTCCTTCTTACCCTCCCCCATTCCATGATTAGGCTGAGCAATAGACCAAGTCATCAGGGGCTTGTCCAAAGTCTCCAGGTGAGTCAGAGGCCAGGCAGTGATTTATCTGAACTCACACTGAGATGAAACCATTACCTGCCTTGGTCCATGCCTATAAAATGACAGAACCAAGAAAACAAATCATGTGACATCCCCTCCCCCCCAAAAAAAGACACAACGTTTGGCCTTGCCACACACCCAGATATTTCATACTTGTTTGCTCCATCTTTTACCCAATTCCAGGCAGAAATGGTCAATATAACACAAAACTGATAGTATCTCAAATGGCACCTCCCATTTATTATTTTCTAAGAGCTAAAAGGATAGTAAAATCTCAGCAAAGTTTAGATAAATTGACCTGGGAGAACTAGATAGAAATAGCGGTCACAAAAGAAATTCTGAGGTGGCAGATGTTATCAGAGACAATATTTGTTATTGACATAACTGAGTTGGATCAAACATCATCAAGTGTAAATGAAAAAATAATTTTTGAGGAAAATAATTTTAATTAAAAAATGAAAGACTGGGAAATAGTTTACTGAACTGCAATAAAAACTGTCTGGGTGGAGATGATTTTAAAAAATACCTTCTTGAAAAGCATTTTTAAATGTTAGTATAAATGTTGAATAAAATATTTGTATTCATAAGTAGAGTTAAAATATCCTGGAAGTCAAAATTTCTCCTGGGTCCAAACAATCAGAGTCAAACATCCCACATTTTTACAAGTCTCACCACCACTTCAGACTCCTCGCATCCCAAACTGACCTCCTCGTTTTCTCTTCTAAATTAGTTCTATTTCCCCAGCACCCCTGTCATTGTCACCACTTTCTTCTAATTACACAAATTAAGGTTTTGATACCATCGTGGATGCTTTCCTCTTCTTTCATTCTCTATATTGAATCGGTCACCGAGAATGTTGTTTTTCCTTCGATGCGTCTTTCAGATTCACCCTTTCCTTTCTACTCCTACACCTGGTCCAGCTTTCTTCACCTTGAGCTGGATGTGGCTTCCTGTCTGATATTTTAGCTCCAGATGACCCCTCCCTGCTCCCCAGGGCCCCCAGGCCACCTTGCAAACAGCTGCCGGCTCAGCTTTCTGAAATGCTGCTCCTAGCATGTTCTTTGATTAAGAATCTCCAGAGGCCCCCTTACTGCTTACATAGCCAAGTCCCAGCCAGTCTGCCTGTCTTTCAAAAGCCTTCATTACCCACTTCCTCGTGCCCCTTCCATTTTATTTCTCACAGTTTCCCCAAATGATCCCACTTTTGTGACTGATCTCCCCGCTGACTGTGATACGCTTCATGTTCCTCCTGCCTCCATGCTGTGCGCAAGCTGTGCCCACGCCTGAAATAGCCTCCTTTGTGTGCTTTTCATGCCCAGTCCCCCCTCTAACAAAACACTCACTGTGCTTGCATTTTACCACAGAAATAACACATGCCCTTTGCAGAAAATCTGGATAATACAGAGGAATATAAAAGAAAAAATTGTCATCATTTAGAAGTAACAATAGCCCTTTTGGTATATTTCTTTCCTGTCTTTTTTCTGTATGTTCATTTTACCTATTTTTCTCCCATTTATTTGAGATCAGCCTGTACACATGCCTTGTATCTTATTTTACTTCTCATTACAAGCATTCTTCCTAAGCACTGTCTCTCATAGTTCCTAATTTTCCATATATGAATATACCATAACTTATTTGCCTATTTTTCTACTGTTAAAATTGTGATAATGCTTTTTGATACCTGTAGTCAAATTCCCTTTTCAGTTTTTTACGAACTTGAACTCTGAGCAGCAGTACAAAAGCATTCCTCCTATCTTATTCTATAATTATCATAAATTAAAACTTTGCTTGTTTGAATGTAACAATCTAATCATTATTTTCATTTGCATTTATTTGATTACCCATGAGGTAAACTCTTTTAATGTTTATTGCTTTTTAATTATATTCCTTTCTGTGGACTATCTATTCCTGCCCTTTTCCCATTTTTCTATTTGGTTCTTATTGATTGTATAAACTTAATAATTTGCAGATAAAAAAAAAACAACCTGTTGTCTCTGCCTATCATTTTTGTGGGGGGAAAAAAATGTTTCTCCAGCTGAAGCCAATTTGGCTCAGTGGATAAAGCGTCAGCCTGCAAACTGAAAGGTCCCAGGTTCGATTCCGGTCAAGGGCATGTATCTTGGTTGTGGGCACACCTAAGGCAGCTGATTGATGATTTTCTCTCATTGATGTTTCTAACTCTCTATCCCTCTCTCTTCCTCTCTGTAAAAAAATCAATAAAATATATATTTTTAAAAATGTTTCTCCAAAAATGTTGTTTGCTTTTAATTGTATATGTGTTTTTCTGTGATAATTTCAAATTCTTTAATATTGTTTAATATACCAATATTTCTTTTGTGATTTATTCCATTGTATTTAATGCTTAGAACATCTGGTTAAATACTTATATACACTTTCTCCTTATTGATTTTTAATATTTAAATTCACGTTATAGATTATTTCAGTTTACTGAGTTAAATAAATTAAGTCTTTTCTTCATATAGTCAAGCAATGTTAATAGTAAACAATCCTTTCCTTCTCGCGGACCTTTAAAAAAATCTTCATTTTATTTTAAATTTTATAGAGCTGGGAGGAAGGTTCCCAAACTTGAGTGTACAACAGAAACACATGGGGAGCTTTAAAAACTACTGATCCTGAACCTCATCCCAAGAGGTTCTGATACAATTGTTACAGGGTGCAGCCTGCGTATGAGGGAGCAGGTTAGAGCAACAGTTCAGGTGAGCAGCCACTGCAGAAGTGCTGAGGACCGGGTTCTCATGCAGGGCGAGTATCACAACTGTGCCCCAGCCTCTTACTCTGGGCCTAGGCCTGGGCATATGAATTTCAGGAACCCTCACAAGTATCCTCATTGTACCAGGCAGAGAGGCTCTTACCGGGTTCTCTGTGCTGGTTATCCTGGGGCTGTTCCACCTTAATTTGATTATTATGGTTTTATTATGAATTTTAACATCCAGTAGGGGTAGTTACAGGTCTCATTGAAATAGGCCTCGGGCTCTGCTGTGTTTACTTGTGCTGGTGATTCTGCAGCCACCAAAGTCTGAGAACCATGGTTCTGGTATCTAGATTATCCTCTTAGTGACTGTTGAGTTCAAAAATAATCTTATTAGGCTTTTGGTTAGATTTGCATTAAGCCTTCAATGCAGCCTTCAGAGCTCACCTGAGGACTCATTTTTTTTCTATAAGGACTTTTCTGGTTACTCCAGCCCACTTCATTACTCACTTCTCTAAACTCTTCATAAAGTGACATACAGTTATCATTTACTTGTTACTCACCTGTAAATTCTTTCTTGCAATAGAATTTGGGGCAGGGCCCGGTATCGCCTTCCACAAATCCTAGGATGGTACTGGCCCATTGTAAATGCTTACCTTCATAATCTCCACAAATTCCTGGAGTTTATCGAAATCCTTGTCCATTACACATTTTATCTAACAAGGAAGAAAGGCACAGAGCCTATATTACTGACTGTGGAGTCATTTTAAGCAAAGGGCAGCAGCTGCTCTGCTGGAGTGAGCTGGATGAAGCTCGAGGAATGAACTAGTCATGGCCCATGAAAGCCACTTTCTTCTCAAGGGGTTGGGGAAGGGACTAGGGTTCTGTTAGTATCTAGTCAGCACCACCAGCAGCCTTGGCACAACTTAGATCTGGCCATTGCCAGGCTTCCATGTGAAGCTCAGAGCACAGCTTCAGTGACACCTTCTCGCGTGAGCATTCATTCCCCTTCTTTGTAAGGATGCTCTAGGAGGGCCCATCAGGGAAACAAGAGGAGAGGCCTTGCTCTGCAGCTTGCTAAAGGGAGGTGAGTAAGAAGAACTGAACTGGTCCCTGACTGCCCATCAGCCCCTCTCTGTCACTAAAGTTATATCTCCCCAACCTTATCCCTAAGACACCTTAGGAGTCCTTATCACTCAATCATTGGGTTGAAGCATCAAACAAATACGATATCCTCAGATGCCCGACACTTAAATGCTCCAGGGCAGTGGACTGCAAACTCATTAGTCAACAGAGCCAAATATCAACAGTACAACGATTGAAATTTCTTTTGAGAGCCAAATTTTTTAAACTTAAAACTTCTTCTAATGCCACTTCTTCAAAATAGACTCGCCCAGGCTGTGGTATTTTGTGGAAGAGCCACACTCAAGGGGCCAAAGTGCCGCATGTGGCTCCCGACTGTAGTTTGCCGACTATGGCTTTAGGGCATTTGGGCCGAGTTCACTGCAGTGCTTTCTCCATACAACTCTTGATTTCTGTCTCTTTCAAAGTCAGGCACTGCACTTTCCCGAAGCTACCAAGTTCTGGAAAGTCCCATCTTGTTACCTGTTTTATCTCCTCCATCTTTTCCTTGAGCTCTTCCCTCACCTCCCTGAGATCATTCTGAGGAAATAAAATGGGGAAGATAAGAGTAAAGAAATGGCTTGGATGGAAGGAAAGTGTCAAAGGAGGAAAGAAAAGATCCAAGGATGTGGAAAAGGAAGGACAGAGAGATTTCTCATCAGGGAGGAGAGAAAGGAGGCTACTAAGAAAATAGAAGAATCCAGCTGGCGTGTTTCAGTGGTTGAGAACAACCTATGAAACAGGAGGTCATGGTTCAATTCCCGATCAGGGCACATGCCTGGAGTTGTGGACTTGATTCCCAATAGGGAACATGCAGGAGGCAACCAATCAATGATTCTCTCTTGTCATTGATGTTTCTCTTTCTCTTTCCTTTCCTCCTTCCCTCCCTCCTTCCCTCCTTTCTTCCCTCCCTCCTTTCCTCCCTCCCTCTCTCTGTGAAATCAGTAAAAATATGTTTTAAAAAAGAAAGAAAGAAAACAGGAGAGTGGGACATCCAGACATCATGCGCATTCGACACTTCTGGGATATGACCATAAAAAATATACAAACAACCCAAAATAAGGCTCATCCTACAAAATGAATGGTCTCCAACCCTAAAATATGTCAGTGCTCAAGAGATAAAGGTTGAAGAACCATTTCAGGTGACAGGAGGCTAAGGGACACAGAACCTGGATGCAACATGTGACCCAAGATTGAGGCTGTTGTTTTTTCTCTTGTTATGAAAGACATCAGTGAGATCATTGCAGAAATTAGAATAAAGGCTGTAGATGAATACTGTGCCAAAGTTAATTTCCTGATTTTGATGTATGATAATAATACTGGCCATATAAGAGTTTTTGTTTTTAGGAAATTTACATCGAAATTTGAGAGAAACATGCTCCCCAATGGTTTAGAAAAAATATATATTTATTGTGTGTGTGTGTGTGTGTGTGGGTGTGTGTGTGAATATATACATATATGAGATAGAGGGAAAGAACCATGATTAAATGCCAACATTTGGGAAATCAGGGCAAAGGGTATACTAGAATTCATTGTGTTATTTTTTGAAACTTTTCTGTAAGTCTGAAATTATCCTATATAATAAAAACCTAATATGCTAAGTGTCCAATCGTCTGGTTGTCTGTTCAACCAATCAAAGCATTATATGCTAATGATATGCTAAGGCCACTCAACTGCTCTCTATGACGTACACTGGCCATGAGGGGCAAACGCTCTGTCTGGTAGGTTAGCTTACTGCTGGGGTCCAACCAATTGGGACTGAGCAAAATGGGCCAGACATGCCCCGAAGCCTTTCCACAGTCCCTCCCTAGCTGGCCAACCTCCTGCATGGGATCCCTTGGCCTGGCCTATACCCTCTTGAAATCTGGGACTTCTCAGGGAATGTCTGAGAGCAGGTTTCGGTCCAATCTCCCAGGCCAAGCCAAGGGACCCCACTGGTGCACAGATTCGTGCACTGGGCCTCTAGTTTCACAATTAACAGTTAAAGGAAACAAACCAAAATAACTAAAGAGAATGGAGTCACAGTTTATCCCCCATGGAAGTTGTTTAGCTGCTCAGCCCCCCTTCACCGGGCTGATCCCACCGTACAACACCTGGGTTTAAACACCTACCTTTAGCTCCCTCGTCCCGGCCGTTTTGGTAAATGGCCCTTCTGATTTAATTCCTTTGCATTCATATGTCTGTTGATTAAAACCAGAAACACAGGGTATTGGAAACTGCAGGTGTGAGGTAGATAAGGCAGGAGAGATCACCCCGAGTTTCTGTTCCTCCCTCCCAGCCAGGGTAGACAGAGAGGAGCTGGTGGCCCCACCTGTGCAGCTATTTCCTCCATCCTTCACTTCTCTCTGAGCTCCTCTCATTCCACTCCCTTCCTGGGCCTCAGCTCTGTTCCCGAACAGCCAGGCTCATTTCTGCCTCAGGACCTTTGCACAGCTGCTTCCTCGACTTACAGCGCCCTTCCTTAGTCTTCGAGTGGCTGGCGTCTCATCCTTCGGCTCTCAGCTCAAAGAGAGGGCTATCCTGACCCCTGGCTCACAGCGGCCTCCCCGTCAGATCTCCCTGTTTCAATTCTCTACGTAGCACTAACACTACTGATTTTGTTTCCTGATTTGTGCATTTATCTGATTAGTTACTACCGTGACGTTCTAAGAGAGCAGAGAGCGTGTCTGTCTCTCAGTGTACCCCCAGCACCTGGGACAGGTCTTGGCCACAGCAAAGCGAATGACCCCTGACTCCAGGTCAGCTCCCACGGCTCTCAGGCCTGGGTGCTGGCATGGGTTCAAAAGAGCTTCTTACTTTGATCGGCTCTGGCTTCAATTCCAAGCAAATTGCCTTGTAGTTCTTGCCCTGCGGAGAGAGGCAGTTGGGATACAGGCATCAGGACCAGGGTAGCTACCCCCGCCCCTGACAGGAGGACCCTCACCGGCCCTGCCGGTCCAACTGTGCTTGAGCCCAGGCCCACATGTCCCCCGGCCCCCGATTCAGGACGACTCCAGTCTTGTCCTGCTGTTACACATCTCTCACGAGCATTGCCTGCCCGTTCGGCAGGCAGCTCTCTCTCCCTGCTGGGGGTGCCCGGGCGGAGAGGAATTTTATGGGAACTTTATGAAGCCACGTAAGTACTATTTCAGGAGCGCAGACTCAGGTTCTAATCTCAGCTGTCCTCCCTACTGGCCATGCCAACGTGGGCAAGCTGTTTAGTCTTTCTGGCCTCCATTTCCTCATCTGTGAGGTGAGGAAGATAATTACGTTTATATAATAAGTCATTGTACACCTTAGACATGCCCATTAGATGCGGGCCTGGCGCAGGCCTGGGTGGGGTCCCGCCCCGGGGAGTAGCAGAGGTGGGGTTCAGGACTATGTGTCCTTGTCCCCGAGGGAGCCAGTGAGGTTGCTTTCCTTCCCAGGCCAAGGCCAGGAATCAGTCCCACCCTCCTTCTAGGCTAAGTGGTCACTCCATGCTCAGACAGAGAAAGAGAAGCCCAGCTTTCATCAGCGGGTCTCTGCACCCACCCCACCCCACCCCCATTGAGGCCCCCCAGGGTCCAGGCCTTTCTCCTTTACCAGGTTTGCTTTCTTCAGTTCTGCCTTCTTGGCCGACATGATGGAGGAGGCCAGAGTGTTCTTTTCCCAACCTCCCCACGACGGGCCCTGTGACCAGGCCACTGTCCTATGCAGATTACAGGCCCGGGGAGGGCGGGTGACCGCCTCTGTGTGTGGAGCAGCTGAGGTCACAATGCCCAGGACCCCCCCTGCCATCCTGGAGTGTCAGCGCAGCTCTGAGCCTGGGGCGCCCTGGCCGCTGAGCTGAGGGACTCAGGTCTGACTGCCGCGTGGGGGAAGGTGTCCTGCAAAGTCCACGCGAGGGACCGTGGCTGTTCTGGCCCAAGCGCAAGGCGCACCTCAGGAGAAGCAAGGGCTGCTGGCTCCGCCCGGCAGGCTCGTCTCCCTGCTGCGCGGACCAGGGGGTGTCTGCCCGCACTCCGGCTTCCAGGGCCCCCGCCTTTCCCTCTGCCTCGCTCTCCTGACGTGGATGGACCCTCCCTCGCCCTGGAAGCCGTCTTGGGCTGAGAAGTCTCTCTGGCCCAAGGCGCAGGTACCGTGCAAACCTGGGTTTTTCTGTCCTGTGGGGGGAACAGGGAGGGGGCGGTTTCAGTCTCGGCAGGATGAGTTCTGACTCCCTGTCTGACTGCATGGCTGGCCCTGTCCCCTCTGCCCTCCACTGGTCTCTGCCCCTGCTTCTCCCATCATCCTGGAAGAGGGTCACCCACGGACAATGCTGAAGATGAGAAGCCTCGGGGGGCAGAAGGGGTGGGAGTGGGGGGGGCCGGAGGCAGATTCTAAAGAACACTAGTTGCTTCTGAAAAGGCCAGTTTGGGAATAGCAGACAGACAGCACAGGCAGGCATACAGGGACCAACGCAAACTGCATGTGAAGTCCGTGCCACCACACACCTCGCAATGACCCTTCACACCCCCCTCCACTCCAACCCTGTCTGCGCCTGTCCTTCCAGAGGCTGCGGGCACTGGGACTTCCTGGGGAGCGTTTCCTGGGGGTTATTTCACAGCCCCCAACCTGGTGACAGCCCTCGCTCTTACTCTGTCACAGCCAAAGGAGAATATGACTGTCCCTCTGCTCAGTGGTGGGGGGAGGAGGGAGCGGTGGGGAGCTTCCCAATCCTCCTCACCCTCTCACAGCTGCCTAAAAACCCCAAGGCCTGAGCATGACACGCCAGAAACTGACTGGTGCGTCTGGTTACCGGATGTGGGCCCATCTCCTCCTCGCTGCGGCTGCCGATCTCCCTGCCTCTGCTTGGCTGGGCTGAGCTGCCGTTCCAAGAGCCTCCTTCCGGCCGAGCAGATCCCAGGAGGCCGTGGCCTACACGTCAGGAAGCTGGGTCTTCAAAGCAATCAAGGTGTCCTTGTGAAGCTGCTCTATACATTACACATGTAAAACCATCATGGTTTGGACAGACATGTAACAAGACCCAGTGCCTCCTCACGGCGCTCACTGTCAGGCGCCCAGGGCCTCACTGTTGTCATGGATGCGCCCCAGATGGGCTCGGGGAAACCCATTGGACAAACCCGAGTCGAGGAGTCTCACGTTGTCTCCTCTCCTTAAGATGTCGCCGCTGCGTGAAGCACGAGGGCGACACCACGACATTGCGTGTTGCTGCAGCACCACCGTTCCCTGCGGGCTGTGGCAGCTCCTCCTCAGGAATGCCAGCTCCGCTCTTCCCAACCCCCGGCCCTGGCAATACCCACTGGTATGGGGCCAGGAGCACACGCCCACCGAGGTCCCACTGGAGTTTGCTGGAAAAGGAGCAGCCACAACGGAGACACAGAGGCAGCCACACGTCTCTCTTCCCCGATGATGCCATTTGGATTTCCTTTACGAGGGTTTCTCAGCTTCTGGAAGACAGTGTTTGTGGCAAGGCTGGTGGGGAAGAGGGGGATTTCAAACTGGCCTTAGGCCTCTGGGTTTGGTCTCTTGTGATTGCCGGGGGACAGAATCCCAGGATCTGGGCTACAATGAAGCCCAGGCTCAGCCCATGTAGCCCAGAGAACATGACTGTCATCCATGCTGTAGGGCCTGTTTGACCACTGGGTGACCCAGAGCTAAAGGCCTTGGACCGGGGCAGAAGGTTTCATCAAGGTGCCCAGGGTCGCGACGGCTGTGGTCTCCAGGCCACCTCGGATGGACCTGAACCAGGTGACTGGCTCTCACAACACCCTGGGAACATCCCTCCAGAGGGGCTCGCTGGTTCCTACCCCAGAACCTCTCACTTTCAGAGATTTAATGTGATTGGCTACTGCATTATCCTACTTGACCGATATACAGAGGCCTCATAAAGCTTTACCACACCAGGACCGTCCCCTCTGCTCATTGACACGTTGGTTACTATGCGATTTCTGATCATCTCTATAAATAGTGTGCCCGGCCTTGACAAGAATCATAACCCTATTACATTGTTTCTATGGAACAATGATCCAGTTTCTACCATGGGAACTTCTAGGACCTCTATTTCAGGAACAAAACATAATGTTCTGAACAGATGAATGTAAATCTCCAGCTAATTCGAGGTATCTAACGGTGAGTGAAAAGCCAGAGCGAAGGTATTGTGTGAGGATTGCGGGCTTTTCCCTCCTGTGCGTTCACACGACAGGGGCGTGTTTGCCAGGGCCTCGCGGGACCCAGCGAGGGGGACCTGCTCCTCTGCCCACAGCCGGCAGTTAGAGAGCAGCCTGCGTGGGAGATAAAGAGCCACCAATAACCGGAGGCTCCCTGCTCCTGCCAAATATGGCCCCTGGGCCACCTCGCTTGGCCGGTGTCCCTTTGCCTCTTTGGGTGGAGTCCAAACAGAGGAGGGCAGCTATGCTCCTGGCTCTTTCGGCCTCTGGGCTTGCAAGCTCTCTACAGCTGCCATCCTCGTCTCCAGCAGCCTTCTTTCTACATCGGACACCTCCAAATCCCCATTTAGTACAGAAGCAATGAAACTGGGTGCATCCTCTTTGGATGGCTCTTCTTGAGGGATTATAGTTGACCCTGAACTGCACCGGTTTAAACTGCATGGGTCACTTATATGCACATTCCCCCCCCCCCCCCCAATAAATACGTATAGTATTGTAAATGTTTTCCTTATGATTTTCTTAATAACATTTTCTTCTGTATAGCCTTATTATAAGAGTACAGTATATAACACATATCTATCTATATAAAAGGCTAAGGGTCTATCACAACCAAATGGACGACTGAACAGGCTTTGTGGAGCTATCAGGCCAGCAAAGGGGGGGGGGGGGGCGGCGTGAGGGGTAATCAGGCTGTCAGGCAGAGGCAGTTAGGGGTGATCAGGCTGGCAGGAGGGGTGATCAGGCTGGCAGGAGGGGCAGTTAGGGGCAATCAGGCAGGCAGGAAGGTGAGTGGTTAGGAGCCAACAGTCCAGGATTGTGCAAGGGATGTCTGACTGCTGGGGATCAGGCCTAAACTGGCAGTCAGACATCCCCTGACGGGTCCTGGATTAGAGAGGGTGCAGGCTGGGTTGAGGGGGCCCTCCCCCACTCCCGTGCACGAATTTCATGCACTGGGCCTCTAGTAACATACAAAATACAGTATATGTTAGTGGTGAGGCTTCCTATCAACAGCAGGCTATTAGCAGTTACGTTTTAGGGAGTCAGAAGTTATTCGTGGATTGAAAACTACACGGAGGGTCACCTCCTGCAGGCACCAGACCACGTGACAAAGGAACCTCTGGGGCCCTGGACTCCAGCTTGAAGCTGAAGAGGGAGGCACATGTGACATCACGCCTCTGTGTGGCAAAACTTCTGTGAAAGTGGCTCCCTGGAGAAGACTACTTGCATTGAATCAAACACTGAAGTAAGCCAAACATTTGCAGAGCCCTCTAAAGTATTACTTTACTTTTTGTAAGTTTTTTAAATACACATTTTATTGATTTCGGAGAAGAAGGGAGAAAGAGAGAGATCAATGATAAGAATCACTGGTCATCAGCCTCCTGCATGTCCCTACTGAGGACCGAGCCTGCAACCCGGGCATTGTGCCCTGACCAGGAATCAAACTGTGACCTCCTGGTTCTTAAGTCAATGCTCAACCACTGAGCTACACTGGCAGGGCTATTTTTTTATTTTTATTTTTTTTTTTTTACCTAGTTCTTGATCTAAAAAAAGGGATCCCATTGTGTCCTCATCCCTCTAAAAACTGTGACAGTATAAGCCATCCGGAGAACTGTGACTGCTGAGGCCTGCCCCGCCCTCAGCCCCACACCTCCTGCCAGGCTCCCCTGGCCCAGGCTCAGGGCCAGGCCAGCTCTCAGCAAGGAGCTCAGGTTCCCTGTGCAGGGACTGCCCAGCGAGTCCCCTTTTGGCTCAGGACACTTGCTAAGTGCCAAGCACGCTGCATGGCCCTGGCCCCTAGAACTCATCACTGACAGAGGTGACAACGGAGTGGCACTTACAATATGCGGAGGGAGCCCAGGGAGGGGCATGGCCCAGTTCTTGGAGCTGGCTCTCTGCCGTGTTCCGCTGGACCCCATTCCCGGCCTTGAGAGCTTCCCCATACCCTAGTCCCTCTGGACGCAGGTGCTTCCCTAAATCCCAGCACAGGAGCCAGGCAGGGCTCTGTTACCCCCCACATGCCAGGCTGGCCCAGCACCAGCACCTGCCTGGTCCTCAGGAGAGGATGAAGGCGACAGGCTCCCTCACTGGTCAGTGGGACCACCTCCTCCACGCTGGGCCCTGTCTCCACAGATGAAGAGGCTGTCCTCGGCATGGCTCCCAGCCGGCCCAGCAGGAGTGCTGCGTGCACAGCCGCTTCCGCTGCTCCACCTGGCCCGCGTTCACCTTCAGCTGGCCTTGTCACACTGCACGGCAGTTTGGACTGGGCTTAAACCTGCCATCCTCCAGCAGCGCACAGCAAGGTGTCCTCTGAGCGGTGTGCGTGCCAAGCTGACAATCCACCATGTCAGAGGGGGTCTGCAGGGAGCACAGTCCTGTCCTCAGAGGTCCTCGGGAAATAAGGTAGACCTTGCTTTATAGCGCTTCACAGATGTTATTTTTTTACAGATTGAAGGCAAAACCCTCCTCCCACAAAAAAAAGATGCCGACTCACTTTACTGCAATGGTCTGGATTATCAAAACCCGCATTCTCTCCGAGGTGTGCCTATCATGGGATATTCATAAGTGCAACCACCATTGGGGTTCGTACACGAACCTCCCTCAGCTCCCAGAGAACTGGAAACACGGAAGCCCCAGAGTCTGCAGGAAGGAGATGCAGTGCTGGCCTGGGGTCCATCAGATTCATCTCTCTGACCCCACTGGGAACCTCAGCAGCCTCCTTCCTATCAGACCCGAGGGCCTTCTCTTTTCCTCTCTCTTTTTAAATTATATACTTTTACTCCAGCTTTCTTGTTGTTTTAAAAAATTTTTTACAGAGAGGAAAGGAGAGGGATAGAGAGCCAGAAAGATTGATGAGAGAGAAAGATCGATCAGCTGCCTCCTGCACACCCCCCACCGGGGATGTGCCCGTAACCAATGCACATGCTCTTGACTGGAACCAAACCCGGGACTCTCAGTATACAGACTGACGCTCTATCCACTGAGCCAATCCGGTTTTGGCAAGAGGGCCTTCTTTTTTGCCTTCCACTTGGTTAGCTGTATTGTTCTTCATACCAATGAACAGGAGACCTATCTGTCTACCTAACTATTTCAAGGGATTATGGGGTCCCACAATCTGCCCTCTGCGGGCTGGGGATCCAGGAGAGACAATGGTATAAGTTCCAGTCTGAGTGCACCATGTCCCAGTTCCAAACAGTCCCAAAGAGAAAGAACTTTCTATTTGACCTTTAATTCTACTCATTCCTCATGACTCGAGGGGGCCTGCACGCATCAGAAGGGCACTCTGCTTTGCTCTGTCCACTCTGACTCAACTGTGCATCTCACAGAACCACACACACACACACACACACACACACACACACAGAATCACGTTTGACCAACTACCTGGGCACCTTGTGGCTTAGTCAAGTTGACACATAAAATTAACTATCGCATTACCTGTCTCTCCCTCATCCGCGATCATCACCGCCCATCACATCATCCCTGGAGCATAGCTCACTTCCATCCGTCTGTCCCCCCCCAGCTTCCAGAACACACACGAAAGCAAGCTGTAATCCTTTTGCTGGGGGAAGGTTTTGCCTTCAGACTAGAAAAAGCCCAACATTTGTGAATCACAAGAAAGCATAGCAAGGGATGCCTGTTTTCCCAGACCTCCGGATCCATCCTTCCAGGAGGAAATACCCCCTTTTCCAGATTCCCTGGAGCAACCCTTGACCTCCACATCTATCCTCCGTCTGGACCCCGCTCTGGGCTCGTTCTCAGACTTGCTCTCAGGAGAGTGAATCCCAGTTCAAGCCCTCCCCTCCCCCCCAGCCTCCCCAGTCTGCTGCCTCCCACGGCTTGTCTGCAGATACCAGGCAGTTGTGCAAGTCAGCAGGGGCATCGCAGCGACTTTCCTTCAGGCAGAGTGGGATGGTTCAGGCATACAGACATTGGGCTGTCCCATCGCCAAGGAGGGACTACGTCACCCAGGAGAAGGGAGAGGGGCCGGTGGACCCGGATTCTCAGGCTCAGTGATCACCTGGAGACCCTGCCAGTCTTGCCTGCAGGTTTGAACAAGGTCAGGGGTTCACCTCCAGAAATAGGGGGAAATCACTGTAATAAAACAATGTCTCAACCAAGCATTTTGAATGTGTTTATTTAATCCACACAACCACACTAAGAGGTAGGCACTATCATTATCCCTATTTTACAGATGAATAAACTGTTTAACTCAGAACTGGCATTTTTCTGAAGTCAGAGAGCCTGATGGGGGAGCTGTGAACCCAGGCAGCCTGGCTATGCAGCCAGCACGCTTAACCTGCCCCCTAGAGGCATGGACTGTCCCAGTCGCGGCAGCCCATGTCCCATGTCAGCATTTCCCATTGACATTTATGAAACGGGTTAACAAAGGTAAGTTCACAGGAGACCTCATGCACAATGCAGACGGAGGAACCCCGTCGCTTCTGCAACCCCCCGCCCCCAACCCCCAACCCTCTACTGGGCAGTCCTGAAGAGAGGCCTCAAATAGCACCTCGGGGAGCACAGGCCCACTGGCTGGGAGCCCCCTGCTTCCCCAGCTGTGCAGGGAGTTAGACCGGCTGCTGCACAGAACCTTCCCTCAGGCAGAAATGGCCCCATGGGGCACAACTGGCTCCAACAGGTCACGTCCACAGGCATAGGGTCAACAACAGGACACGGCCCACTCATTTATTCGGTACACTCAGGTCTACTGCCCGCTGGCCTTTGCTTGGCTGTGGCCACAGTGCACATCTCTGACGAAGACCTCCGACGGGCGGCAGCCGCCACTTTGCAGAACACCTGTCTGATGTAAAAAAGCAAGTGTGGGAGGTGCAGCTTCCACTTTGGGGATCTGATGGGTCCAGGAAAAAAGGTCTATATAGACCGTGGGATAGTGAACACTGTAAACCTTTACCTAAGGATGTCCTGTGAGCGTGTGTGTGTGTGGGGGGTGGGGGTGGGGGATTCAGGAGAGGAGGGTGGAGATGCTACAGAGTTCCCATGAACCCCTTTGTTTCCTGCAGCTCATGCAAACCTTGTGTTTGTTCCTGGGTCACTAAGTGAGCCCACTCTTGCCTTCTCCCTCCCCCCTCCCCCTGCCTGGCTTTCCTTCTCCCTCCCCCCTCATCTGCCTGGCTTTCCTGACACACCACCAGTGAAACTGGGGCCCTGAGGAGCAGGGCTGTCCTCCTCCCTCATCACCAGCCCCCTCCCATGCCCTGCATTCAAGAGCGCTGGGTGCCAGACAGGGTCCTAGGTAGGAGGGGGAATCCAAAGAGAATAATAATAGCAAGTCTTCCTAATACAAACCATAACACAGAGCCTTACCGAGAGGCCTGCTGCCCTTGTTATGGGTGGTCAGGTGCAGTCTCTGTTCTCAGGGAGCTCAGTCTCTCCGGAGAAAAGAGAACTGATTTCAACCCCAGGGTGCCCAGTGGGGCCCTTAAATCGTGAGAAGGGGGTCCTGGGGGAGGGGTGTTTTCCAGGCCAGGATGGCAGCTCCCCTCCTATCCCCAGGGAGTGACCTCAGAGGCCGAGGCAGACGGGGTTGTGTCCCTGGGACCGAGCCATCTGAGGCCATGGCTGCACAAGAGAACACGGCAGCATTATCAGCTCCTGCCTCTGCCTCTTTAGAGGGGCTGTTTGCTCTTCCCTCCGGGAAGGGTGGAGAGCAGAAAAAAAGAGACTTCCAGGCTGTGGTTTCCAAAAGCTCAGCCCTTCGGGGAACAGAGAGAAGCTGGACATAAACAGGATGCTGGGAGGGAGGGAGAAGGAAAGAGAGAGTCTGAGCTGTTCTTGCTTCCCCAGAGAAATGCCTTGGTCGCTGGTCTGTGCTTAATCAGGGAGCCGAGCCTGGCCCTGGGCAGGCCTCGGATCTCACTGAGGGAGGACTTGTGGGACCCACTGCCTCCCCACCTTACACTTGCCAGTGACCGAGTTTGTATGGCTGCCCTGCTGTTCCCACTATGCCCTGAGCAAGTTACTTCACTTCTCTGAGCCACAACTTTCTCTCCTGGGACGTGGGGGTCCCGGCCCCCCCTGGTGGCTGGTGTGGCTGCTGTGAGGGAGGAGAGTCCAGCAAAGCCTGGCCCACACATGCCCATTCCTTCTCCCGCCTCAACGGTCCTTTCTCTCCTTCCACTCCTGGCCCTCTGGCCCTGAGGAAGCCTGGGCCTAACCTGGCCGCCCTCTGCCGCCCACTCCTGCCGCCTCAGCAGCCAGCCCCAGAGCCGGGCTCCCCTCATCATCTCTCATCAGCTTCCTGACCCCTGTTGCCACCCCTGCCCCCGGCAGGAGGACACACATCTCCGCTTTCTTCCAGCTGCACCCAGCACCTCACACAACGGCTGACAGGCAGCAGGCACCGAATAAGCATTTGTTTAGTAAAATCTGCAGTTTGGGTAGGAAGAAGGCGAGTGGAGAGCAAGGAAGAAGGGACCAGAGGCTCAGGTGCAGTTGCTGCCGGAGGCGAGGGGCCTGCCTTGTGCTGCAGCCATGCAGGGCCTGGGGCTGCGGAGCCTGCTCTGCGCAGCAGGTGAGGACCCCGGGTACCCCTCTTCCCCGCACTGGGCTCCCTGCATGGGTTTGAGGCAGAAGGGGAAACAAAGTGGAAAACAATGTTTTTCAACTGTCAGTCCAGGCCTGGCGACAGAGGTCTCAGCCCCCTCTCCCGCTGGCTGCCTCCTCTCCCCCTGCCCCTGGCTGGCTCCTCTCGCCCTGTCCCTCCCCTTCTGAGGCCCAGGGGCCAGAACCCAGCGTCTGCTGTGCTTCATCTCATCCCACTCACTCATGTCCCCACGGAGGCATCTAACCAACAGGTAGTAATGAAGTGCCTCGCAGGTGCGTGGCTTCCCAGAGCTCAGGGTCTAGCGGGGGTTAAGGACATTCGGCAAGAAGACAGTAAATAAAATGGTTGCAGAATGGGACAAGTGCGGTTAAGGAAACAGTCAGGGTGACAAGAAGGAATATCTTAGAAGCGTCCTTCCGTCCACGAGGGCAGCAGAGAGACCCCCTGGGGCCAGTGCTGTGAGTCCCAGTGACCTGGGCCAGGGTGGCAGTGGGCATGGAAAGAAATGGAACGTTCATGAAGGTTCAAGATACACTGTGGGTAGAGCTGACGTGATTTGCTGTGAGTCTGGATGCCAGGAATGAGAAAGAGAGGGGCCAGCCGTGACTCCTGGGCTGGGGCTGGAGACACTGGAGGGAGAGAGGGAGCCACTTAATGAGCTGGGGGGCACCAGGACGGAGCAGACGGAAGGTGAGTCTATGTGTGTGTGGACAGAATGACAGCCGGATGGACACATGCACGAGTTCATGGTGGAGGGCAGAACCTGGGAGGCCCCAGGACACTGCATGAAGCCAGGAGATCAGAGGGGAAGCAGGGTTTTTCATTAGAGCCTAAAATCAATCTGGCGGGCCACAGGCAGTGATTTGAAAAAAAAAAAATTGAACATATCAGGATAAAACATGGCAAAGTGTCCCTGGCTGGTGTGCTCAGTGGTTAGAGTGTCAGCCCAAAGGGTCATGGTTCAATTTCTGGTAAAGGGAACGTATCTGGGTTGCTGATTCTATCCCCGGCACCTGTGGGAAGCAACCAATCAGTGTGTCTCTCACATCGATGTTTCTCTCTCCACCCACCCCTTCTCTCCCCCTCCCCCTGATTTCTCCATCCACTCTAAAAAAATAAAAATCAATGGGAAAAATATCCTCTGGTGAGGATTAACCAAAAAAAAAAAAAAAGTGTCCAAGTGACTCACATATCATATGAGAAAAATAACTTTTCTTTCCTCTGATGCAGTGCTTCTCCAATTCTTCCCAGCGACAGGTGGCATCTGGAACTCTGGTGGGTGTAAGCAGCTTTATTCCTTTTGGCAAGTGCCTTCCTGGTCTTTTCCCCGTGCCCCCCACACCGGGCAAGTTCTTCTGTCTCAGCTTCCTCTCCTACGGCATCTGGCTTGAGGCTGGTTCCTTAAGGCCTAGGGCCCCCAAGATCCTGGCCCCAGCCTCTTCCTTCCTCTTGACCCCTCTGCACCGCGGGACCTGGGCAGAGGAGCTGGGACCCTAGCAAGGGTATGGAGTCAGGAAGCAAGGAAGCGAGCACCGAGGTCTTGAGGCTGGTTCCCGGGAGAAGTGTAATTTGCTCCTTAGTTCTTCTGTTCATTCATTCAACACATGGAGCCGTTCTGATGTGCTGGCTGCTGAGAGAATGACGAATATGGCTTGTTCACTGCTCCCAAGGTGCCTGAACCCGGTGGAGGAGACAGACAAGCAAGAAGGTCCTTTCCCCGGGGGCTTTAAAATATCCTGATGCTGGTCCCAGCACATTCCAACCCTTGCCGTAGGGCGGGCCTGAGCGTTAGTGTATTTGAAAGGCTCCCCAGGTGGTTCTATGCGCAGCCCCTATTCCGAGCCCCTGACGCCTATGCCAGGGCGGCACATGGGATGACTCAGGGCCTGGACCTGGGAACCCCACCCACGGCCCTTGGGTCCTGGCTCTACCCCTTCCCGCTGGGTGGGTGGCCAAGTCACTCAACTCTCTGGACTTGGTGTCCTCAGAGGTCAAATAGGCACGGTGACACCTGCCCTGGGGGGTTGCTGGAAATCATGAGTGCTCGGTAAACACTATGGACTATTGGTAAGCACTGACAAGGTGCCCCGCAGCACACAGGCAGGGCACCCACTCAGAATGGGGCACAGGGTTGAGTCATTAGCTGGGCAAAGGGAAGGGGGAAGATGAGGGGATTGAGGGACCAGTTCTTCCGGGGACCAGAGAGCAGAGCTATGGGCCATGGGAGGGTCAGTGGCAAGGGACAGAGCAGAAGAGAAGAGGCTGGCTTTGAGAACTAGCAGGGGGGGTAGAGGGGGGAGGGAAAGGGGAAAGGGCAGGGAGGGGGAGGGAGTGGAGATGGCCACACGGTGACAGCCTCTCCTGCCCCAGCCCAGGAGCTGGTGAGCAATGGCAAGACCTTCACGAGGGTGGAGGAGAAGCTGAGCTGGATGGACGCCCTGCGGTACTGCCGGGGGCACTACACGGACCTGGCCGACCTGCAGAGCATGAACAGCATGAGCAGCATGATGAGCCTCTTCTCCCTCACCAGCGGCTCTCAGGCGTGGATCGGCCTCTTCTACAACGCGCGCATCGGCGGCCTGAGCTGGTCCAGCGGTTCCACCTTCACCACTCCGATATGGAGCTCGCTGCCCGTCTTCAAGGAGGGCATCTGTGCCACGCTGTTCTCCGCATACATTATCCCCAACCTGGGAGCCGCCTCGTGCGCCCATCAGATGCCCTTCGTCTGCTACCACGGTGGGTTCACAGCCGCAGTCCGGACACCGCCGTCCTCCCAGGGGCCGCTTCTCACGAGCAAATGAAAGCGAGAGCGCTCAGGTCTTCCCAACTAACGATTACCTTGGCCCTGCTGGCTGCATTCCTCAGCCTCAATTTCTCTCTTCCGCCCCTCAGTTCCTAGAGTCCGCCAGCGAAATGGGGTATAAGTCAGGGTAGAGAAAAACTAAAATCTGGAACGTCCCACTTTGTCCCCTCCTCCTGCCAATTAAAGGTTTAGGAGAAGAGAAAAAAGGAAGAGAGGAAGAAGGCAGGCAGGTTGGGGGTTCATTTGCCTCTGGGCAGAAACTAGCAGAATCCAGTCTCTCATCTTTTCTTAAAGCACAGGCTGGTTCTGTCTCGGGGGGGGGGGGGGGGGGGGGGGGGGGGAAGGTGTGTAGACCAGCTGCTCTCACGGTGGCTTCCTGCTTCTGGGAAATGGGTGGGTGTGGCCAGCTCCTTGGGGCGTCTCTGCAGGAAGTCCCTGTCAGTACTAAATGCACATGGTGCTGGCCATCCTTGCCCTGGGCTGGCCCCTCTGCCCACTCCACTGACCTTGGTCTGAGGTCACTTGGGGATGGTTAGAGACCAGAGAGCCAGTTTCTGCTTTTCTCTCAGTCAGTCACGGCCTGCCCAACTCAGTACCGCCCCAACCCCTCAAATAGGGGCACAGAGGACCGAGCTGCTGAGTCCCCCCTTCTCCACCATGTCTGTCAGAGAGCCTTGAAATGTAGCCCACAGTGGCCCAGGTGTGACCTAGAATTCCGGATGCAGTGGGATGGGAGCCCCACCAAGGAAGTGTGTATGAGGCGCTTTCTACTACTAAGTCTGGTGTCCTGACTCCACCCTCTTCTCCTCTCCCTGCGGGCCCACCCACTAGCACACCCCTCCTCCTGGGGCCTGCCCCACCTGCAGAGGGCTCCCTGTATAATGAACTCTAAAACATGTAGATCAGACATTTTGCTTATACACATTCACTAGACCCCTCAGTACTTAGAATCACACCCCTTGGTAGCCACCTGATGTGCTGGACCCCTTTGGCCTCATGTCCTATTTCTCTCCCTGACTACACTGGCTCACTGGCTGCTTTCTTTTTCTTTTCTTTTTTTCTTCTTCTTCTTCTTCTTCTTTTTTTTTTAAATATATTTTATTGATTTTTTTACAGAGAAGGATAGAGAGTTAGAAACATCGATGAGATAGAAACATCGACTAGCTGCCTCTTGCACACCCCCCACCGGGGATGCGCTGCAACCAAGGTACATGCCCTTGACCGGAATCGAACCTGGGACCCTTCAGTCCGCAGGCCGACGCTCTACCCACTGAGCCAAACCGGTTTCGGCAACACTGGCTGCTTTCTGCTCCTCAAACCCACGTGGCCCCTTCCCACCTGAGGACCTGGCCTTTGCCCCAAGGCGGGTTCCTTCTCCAATTCTCTTTGAGAGCGAAGATCCTGCCTATCTTATTTCTGCTCTATTGCTAGGGCCTAGAATACCATGTGCCACACAGCAGCTCAATAGGTATTTATATAGAATGAATGTCAACAGGAACAAAGGAGCCTGTCTAACTTGTTCTCCCAAGTTCAGCGTGGCAGGTCCTGGTGCCTGCAGAGGATCCCGGCAGCCCACGCCTGCCCCGTAACGCGAGGTCTGTTTCTGTTTTCCAGATCCTCTGGAGACACGCTACAACCTCGAGGAGCCCGTTCTCAGCCTGACCACCACGCCACAGCCAGGTGCAGACCCAGGAGCCTGCCTTCTGCTTGATGTATCCACTGAAACCACGCCTGGGTCCCCCCACCCCTTCACCCTGGCTTTGCTGCCAAGGAGGTGGGGGCATCTGAAGACTGAGGTGCAGCCTGGGCTGACACCCCCGGAGAGAGTCAGTGCCTTTGTTACTAAATGGATCCAGTGGGGGAGGTGACTTGGTCAAGGGCCCCACCCGAACGGCGAACAGCGGCAGAGCCCAAGCTCTTTAGATGCCTCCACCTCCATGGCGTGGGAGTGGGGGGCAGAGGCACCTCCTCACAGCCCAGGCCTAGCACCTCTTGTGGGGGGGGGAGGGGGATTTCCCTCTGGATATCGCTGTCCTGGTATTAAAAAAAAAAAAAAAAACGTTCCCCCTTCATGCCTGGTGTAGAGAGGCTCTGTGACAAAGGCAATACCAGTACACTCCTCAATCAACCTGCCTCGTGGAGTTGGTCTTCTGCCTGTTATGGAGGAGGAATATGGAGTTGTGGTGTGAAAATGAGTTTTCCAAGGTGGCCACGCCTGCGTGTGCCCTTTGTCTTGCCAGGCAACAGGGCATGAATTTGGGCAGGTCATCATCTCCCTAAGCCTCTTCCTCTATAAAATGGAGTTAGTAACACCTACTTCTCAGGGTTACAGTGAGGATTTTAAAAGAGGATGTATCCACCTGTGTGAGTACTGTGTGCTTTAGAACTCATTGCAGACAGGGGAAGTGAGGGAAATGCCAGGCAAATCTTGATGGGCTTCGGAGAACAGGTGTGTGTGTGTCAGAGTTAGGGGGGCCCCATTTGAATCTGAGGATGTGACTCCCAATTCCGCAAACAGAGGCGGTTCCTTTCTCAGGTCTCCTTACAGAGTCTGGAGCCCTTTCCAAACTTCCCTTGCTTAGAATCACAGGTGTTTTCGGTCTCTCTGTTCTTTTCCTCCAGAGGTGGTCCAGATTGGCAGACGGACCTTCAAACGATTTAACCAAGGAATGACATGGCAGTCAGCCCTGCTGTACTGCCGTACCCACCACACAGACCTGGCCGACCTGCAGATGGTGACTGACGAGGCAGACATGGAAGCCCTGAAGTCCATCACCAGTGAGACGGAGGCCTGGATTGGCCTCTACTTCAACGCGGCTTCTGGGTCTCTAAGCTGGTCCAGCGACATGGGTGCCAGCATCCCCACCTGGCTGCAGGTGCCCAAGTTTGGGACAGGGCTGTGTGCGGGGCTCCGCACCTACGTACGCTACATCCCCAGAGTTTATTCGGTGGTCTGCGCTCTTCTGCAACCCTTCATCTGCTTCTATGGTGCGTGGCAGTCCTCTCTCCGGCCCTCGGTCCGCATGGGGTGGGAGATGGGTTTGCTTGGCAGCAGGAGACATTGAAGGTAGATCTAAGGAAGCACTTCTGGTCGGGAAGGTAACTGAGTTTTGGAGCAAAGCTCATCTTAACTCTGGGAGCGCTTTTAAAGAATGGACCAGGCCCCATCCAGCCTCAGGACATTCGCAGTTAGCAACAGGAATTGGTTATTGGGCAGTGAAGTGGTTGAAGGCGGGGCCTTTGGAATCACATTTTATCACTTGCTAGAAATGAGTCTCCTTCTCTTCAGGAAAAATATATTTAACAAAATGGTACCAATGACCCGATGATGACCCGCTTTACAGGATGGCTCTGAGGGCTGAATAAGGATGCATGTAAAGGACCTCGGAGAGCCCCTGGCAGAGAAGGAAGCACCCCCGTAGATTTCAGCAACTGTCACTGCTATTGTCACTATGAATGCCGAGCGCCAGGCCACCCTGGCTGTTTGGATCTTGCGCATAGTTTGCCTCCTCAGCAGCAGGCTTCCTCTTAGTATCTCCTTCCTTCTTTTTTTTTTTTTTTTTTTTTTTGAAATGGCTTTATGGTGATAAAATTCACTCTTTTGAAGCATCTGATTCCATGGGTTTTAGTGCATTCATGGGATTGTCCAATCAGCACTACTTAAATTTAGGACTTTTTTTTTATTTTTTTTTATCAGCCCCAAAGAAACTCTTTATTGTGTAAGATCAGAAGGGAGGCCTTGCGGAGCTGTTGTGTGGTGGGCTCGAGGTGTACAATACGTGCGTCCTCCCGAGTCTGGCCTGTGACAGACCTGGGAGCGGGGATCCCCTCACGCTCACCCCCAGCCTTTCCTTGCAGACCCCTCTGTTGGACACCGGCAGTGGGCAGCACTCCCCCAGCTTATCCCCGCTCCCTCCTCGGAAGTGACTGAGGGGAAGGCGCCCAGACCAGGTACGCCCCTGTTTTCTGCTCTGTACGGGTGGGGTATGTGGCCTAATTCTTGGCTGGATCCTGGGGTCTCCAGGGTCTGGAGGTGGAGAGGGCGGCCCGAAAGCAGCAGCATAGGATGGGCCCCGTGGGTTCTCCCAGAGGGCCTGGGAGAGGCCAGAAAAGAGGAGGGCCGACTGGATGGCAGCCAAGGGCCACGATGCACACGGAGAGGAATTTCCCTGTCAGCACCCGGCCGGTGAGCTGGGGTCGGGAGCAGGCGGCCTCGGTCACCATCAACCCCCCCTCCTTGAACGGGGCCACTGCACTTGCGGTTCCAGGGCCAGGAAGCCGAGAGAGGCTGTGCAGTCTCTCAGGGGAGGCGGCCAGGGCCTGAGACGCTGAGCGGAAAAATCACCAGAGGCCTTTGAGGCTGGATATCCCGAGAGAGACGCACAAGAGAGGGGCCTGTGGAATCCCTTCTAGTTCTGAGAGGGGAGGGGATGAGAGGGGAGCTGTGGGGGCAAGGCTGGGAATGACAGTGACAGTGTTCCTTTAGCGTTTTTAAATTCCTGAAGCATCTCCAGAACTATTACCTGGTGCTGCTTCCCAAGCCTTTCGAAGCCAACTAGGATAACCGAGGAGGGCATGTTCCCAGTTCCGCTGGCTTCTTTCCAGATTCCCACTTCAGACAAAAATAACACTATCCTTTTGGAGGGTACAGAGAAAAGCAGGGGGTGTGCTCCCAGAGCTTCATTCATTCTGGGGACACAGACAAAAGGCAGGTCTGCTGGGAGCACCCTGCGAAAGGCGGCGGAGACTGTGTAGTCACAGGCACGATGGGGACATGAAAGGGGCCGGGCCCAGCTCCTGGGGGTTTCCAGGAGGAGGAAGAGGAGGAGGAGGAGGTGATTTTGAAGGCAGAGAGTTAGCCTGCAAAGGGGAGTGGAGGTAGACTGGGTGGCGGCTTGCAGGTAGGAGCTGCAGGTGGGTTGGGGGGTACTGGGCGGGGACCCCCAGATCCTGCAGGGCCCCCCTGTGAGCTAAAGATTGTGGCCCTCACAGCACGAGGGCAGCGTCTGTGGTCAGATTTGGTCCAGGAGCCGGGAAGAGTGTCTTCCGCTCTCCCTCTAAGGTCTCAACTGGCACCGGGCTGCCACCCAGGCCGCACCCAGCGGGTTCAGGAGGCGCTCCCTGCTTCGCTGTCACAGTGGGTGCGCAGGGCGCGGCACCAAGGGACCGCAGGGCCACTGCAGGGCCGGGGCCACCTTCGGACTCTGGCTCCCTCCCAGCGCCTGGGGCCTCGGCTCCATCCGGGGCACAGCCCCCCTGGACGCTCCTGCCTCCCGCGGCTCCTCAGAGCCCAGGGGCTGCGGCCCCGTGTCCCCAAGGAAAGGCCCTGGACCCCATGACCTACAGCGGGGGAGGGGCTGGCTCTGCTCACCCTGCGGTGCCTCAGTTTCCCTCAGATAGCGGCGCTCGGTGTCAGCCACTTACCTGCCTCCGGGTCGCGCGGTTCTGAGCCTGCAGGAGCTTTCCGGGCCCCAGACAGCGGCTCGGCCTTGGGTTCAGGGAGCGCGCCGGGCGGAGGAGCACCGCGCACCGTGCACCCCGCGCCCTGAGTGGGCAACGCGCGCGGGGGCTGCTGGGAGCGGCCAGGGCCGGACCACGTGCCCGCCGCCCGCCGGCCCTCCGAGGTGGGGCCTGGGGACCCTGTAGCCGCCGGCCCCAGCGCCCGGCTCCTCCCTTAGGGAGCCCCGCCCTGGCTCCCACGCCCAGGTGGAGGGTTGAGGCTGGGGCACAGGCCGGGCCCCTGGCCACATGCAGGTCCACTCGCAGGTGATGCCTCCGAGCCAGCCTCCCAACCCTCCGTGGGGAACAATTTTTTTTTGGGGGGGGGGGGGCGGTCTGGGGGAGAAACATTCTATTTAGATGCAGAAGACCTTAGGCAAGTGTCATTTTTCTCATCTTTAAATGAGGAGCGGGGAGGGAAAGGGATGGGGGGTGGGGGTGGAGATGATGCCATTGCCATGAGGTAGCTTTCAGTGTCCGGCATCTGGCAGATACTCAAGAAATGGTTGTTACCATTTTCACCTCAGTTAAATGATTTGTGATTCATTCATCTCCCGCCTCTGTCCTTACCTCGTACTAATCTCATTAATTATACCTGATTCTGAATGATCACGATTATGAATGCACGGGGCTGTGGAATCTCACGGGCAGGGACTGCTTTGTGCCTCCGTTTCCTCTCCAGGCCTAGAACACTGTTTTTGCACACTGGTGGATGATTTAGTCCAGCAACCACTTCCGGAGTACCTGTTTGGAACAGGCAGTGGACTGTGGATACCAAGACCAGCAGGCCTCTTCCTGTTTCTGAAAGGGCTTGGCTGACTGGGGAAGAGAGAGACAGTTTGGTGGGCGCCGCTCCGGGGTGAACCAGAGCCCTGGCAGGAGTGCCTTCCACTCCGCCTGGGAAGGTGGCACAGTAGTCCCTCTTACCCAGGGTTTTACTCTCAGTGTGTTACCTCTGGTCAACCACGGTCTGAAAGGATGTAGTAAATGGAAAATTCCAGAAATGAGCGATTCCTAGGATTTAAACTGTGCATGGTTGTTCTCAATAGCATGATGAAATCTTGGGCTGTCTCTCTCTGCCCACACTGTAGAGCAGCGATTTTAGTAATCAGTTTGTTTAGTAAACTGTTTCTTGCACATTGGTCTATCATTTAATCCAGCAACCACTTCTTTTGTGCCACGAGGTGAAAAAGGTTGAAAATCGCTGCTGTATGGGCTACCTGCCCATCAGACAATTAGTAGCCATCAATTGAAAGAGGGAGGGGGGGGGCGGAGGGAAGAGGGATTAGCACAAAGTTAATCTCTTACTGTGCCTAATTTATAAATTAAACTTTATCATAGTTATGCATGTATGGGAAAACACGTTAAGTGTACATATAGGATTTGATACTATCCATGGTTTCAAGCACCCATGGAGGAAATTGGAATATACACTGAGTGGCCAGATTATTAAAATCTCTGAACACATAATCATCTGGCCACTCGTGTGTGTGTGTGTGTGTGTGTGTGTGTGTGTGTGTGTATTAATTAGAGGCCCAGTGCATGAATTTGTGCATGGGTGGCCAGCCTGACCAGGGGGAGGGGACATGGGCAGTTGGCCGGCCTGCCTGCTGGTTGAACTCCTGGTAGAGGGAACAATTTGCAAGTTAGTCTTTTTATTATATGGGATATACACTGAGTGGCCAGATTATTATGCTTTCAGAGATCGTAATAATCTGGCCACTCAGTGTATATCCCCAGGGGTAAGGGGGTTATGACTACAAAAGGTAATGGGGGATTTCATCAGGCAACAGAGAGCAGAAGGATTTGCATAGGCAAAGGCAGGTAGACGTGTAAGTGTGTGGTGTGGGAATGGCCAGCAGTCTGACGTGACCAAATGGAGGTCACGTTTTGGGGAAGGCAGTGGCAAGGGGTGAGTGGGAAGAGGTAGACTGGGGCCAAACTCTGAAGGACCTGATCCTGCAGCCGGTGGTGGGACCATCAGAGTGAGCCAAGACTGTGTTAAGATGCTAAAGGAAAAAAGCATGAATCAACATTATACACACAATACAGTCACACAATGTTGAAAGGAAACATCAACAGATTGGGAGGAAATGTATGAAAATGTTAACAGTGGTGATATTCAGGGGATGAGATGTGAGTGTTTCTGGATTTTACAGATTTACACATTTCATTAAAGACACTGGCGATTCTTGGGGCAGGGAAGGAAGATGTCCTTTGAGGAGGCGGCCAGCCAGGAGTGGAAGGAACCCAGGGCAGGTCTGGAGCAGCAGAATGAGAAGGGACATGAGGGAATGGATTTTACATCATATGCAAGTGACGTTAACTGAAGAGATAGGAATACAAACACACTTTTAAAAATGCTCAGCTTTATCACAGAAATGCAAATTAAAAGCAAGCTGTATTTTTTTTTTTCCCCAGTGAATTTTTTTACTTACCAGTTTGGCAAAGATTTAAAGGGTGATAAAGCCGACGAGAACATGGGAAAATCAGCCATCTCAGACATTGGGTAGGAAAGTAAACTGGTGCTGCCATCCTGGCAATGCGTGTTAGTTTTGAAATGGGCACACCCTTCCATGCAGAAATTCTACCCATGGACATTTATTAAGGAAATAATAGCACAAGATGTACACGTAGGCCAGTACATGCATCCTCCACACAGGGGGTTGTTGGTTGCAGCACTGTTTATTACACTGAAAAACTGGAGGCAATCTAATGTCCACTGAAAGCAAGTTGGTGAAATAAGTTTGGGTACATTCGATGAAATACTGCACAGCCTTGCCCTAGCTGGTTTGGCTCAGTGGATAGAGCACTGGCCTGTGGATTGAAGGGTCCCAGGTTTGATTCCAGTCAAGGGCACATGCCCAGGATTCGGGTTCGATCCCCAGTGGGGGGCAAGCAGGAGGCAACCAATCAATGATTCTCACTCATCATTGATGTTTCTCTCTTTCCCTCTCAGAAATCATCATATACATATATGAGAATAAGGTAGATTTTTATGCATTCAAATAAAAAAAAAATTCAAGTTAATAGTGGTTGTCCCTGGATCATCGGAGGGATACTTTTGCTTAAGTACTTTACAGTAATATACCATAAAAACAATATGGTTATTTCCATGTTTGAAATAAAAGATACCAGCAAGGCACTGACAGGACTTTGGTGACTGAACATGAGAGCAAGTGACAGGGAGTAAGGCTGCAGCTGAGGGCACCTGGGGTCCCTGGCTGGTGCCTCAGCAGCTGGATAGCCTCGCAGGGCAGAGAAGGTTGTGAGAAAGGCGGAGCTTGGTTCTGGAACATTTTGATAACACACTTTTATGAAGATGTTGGAGATCCCTGGATGCCATGGTGGGGCTCAGTGTGGCTATCAGACATAAGGGGTCGGGGCCTCTTGGGTAGGAACTGCTAAAAGAAGATGTTTGCAACTGAATAGAAATCTCTTAACATTGCACAAGCCCCACACCTCCTGTACCAGGGACACTTGATGAGATGATGGAGTAGCAACTCAAGGGCTGGAACATCAGCCTGCAGGCAAAAGGACTGGCAGGGAGGGGCTCAGCTTCCCACCTGAACGTGTCTGCGCCAACTGTGTGCATGGGCAGTGAGGCCCAGGCCTGTCTCCCAGCTCAGGGGCAGTCACCAACCTCAGACTGCCTTGGTCCTGGCCACCTGTGCGGTAACTCCTTCATTTCCCCTCCTGCAGCTATCCCCAGTGAAGAAAGTGGCACTGGTGTAAGAGGTACAACTGCTGACAAGCAGGCCGATCACGTGAGCAGATCTAACCACCCGGAGTCACCAGGAAAAACCCCAGCGCCAGAATCAGGTAACTGCCTCTGGTTACCACGTTCCCCCTCACTTGTAACAAGTAAGCAGTTCGAGGTGGACAGCCACTCCTTGGCACAGATTTCTTGAGACCTTCTTATGAGATGGTGGGAAGGTTCGGAACGGCAGCAGGAGGAACAAGGGTGAGGATCCTAGTTGGCTCCCTGACGGCTATGTAAGCTTAGTGAGCCCTTTCCTCACTGGGCAATCTCTCATTTCTCACCTGCAAAAGGGGAGGGGTTAAAAACTGCCTACATCACAGTGAAATAATTCTGTACTTTATAAACCATAAAGTGCTACACAAATATAAAGTAGTCTTACTATGAGCTGGTAGTTCCGTGATGATTACAGTGGCCTGCGACTGAAGGCTGAGCTTGTTTATAGGCTTAGAGAACCTAGTTTTCTGGGGCAGAGTGGGCCTTTACCAATGTGGGCACAGGGAGGGGGTGTATACTTCCGGCATCTATTTCATAGAGTTATGAAGAGGGAGGTGGGAAATACAGAATGGAAAATAACTGCCTGATGTGTGAGGAGGGCCAGTGTTACCCTATGACATAAGACTATTTCAGCCACTGTTGGTTGGTCCTAAATTGTGGCCAAGCATTCTCCTGGTCAGTAGGTTCCTTCCTCTCCCTTGTTGAAGCCCTAAATCACATGTACCACCTGTGGTGTCCAGTGTGCACTCTGACTGCTATGAACTTGAAGTTTTCATATGGCAGTAAGATCATCTCCCTGAACCAGGTAGCCCTTTCCTTTTCAGAGCAATTCTTTGGGATCCTGAAAGCAGATTTTACCATCCCAGCTGTAATGGACTTAGAAGATATGAAAGACCAATTTTTGAGCGAGGTGAGATTTCTGCCCACTTCTAATTTTGACCAGATGATTTATACTATCAGAAGGGAGACAGTATTATAGGGGGAAAGGAAAGAAAGGGGAAAAAAAAAGAATGAAAAGAGGGAAAGAAAGGAAGGAGAGAAAGAAAGAGAAGGGAAGGAAGGTGAAAGGAAGGAAGGAAGGATGGAAAGGAGGAAGGAAGAAGGAAGGAGAAGGAAGGAAGAAGGAGGAAGGGAGGGAGGAAGTAAGGGAGGGAGGTAGGGAGGAAGGGAGGGAGAGAAAGAGAGAGAGAACGCACGAGAGAACCCCTAGAAGGTTTGGCTCAGTGGATAGAGCGTCAGCCTTTGGACTGAAGGGTCCCCAGTTGAATTCCAGTCAAGGGCACATACCTCGGTTGCTGGCTTGATCCCAGGCCAGGTTGGGGTGTGTGCAGAGGCAACCAATGTATGTGTCTTTGTCACATCAATGTTTCTGTCTCTCCCTCTCTTTTATATTCTCTTAAAAATTCTTGGATGAGGATTCACACACACACACACACACACACACACACACACACACACACACACACAAATTAAGGCAGCATAGTCAGAAGGACCTGATTTGGGTCTTGGCTTTCTACTTAATTGTGGTGACCTTAGGCTAGTAACATAATTTTTCTGAGTCTTAGTTTTCTCATAAGTTAGGAACAACAGTACCTAACTCATATGGTTGGTATTAGATTAAATGAAATATTCCAAGTGCTTAGCAAATTGGCATATAGTAAGTCCTCAATAAAAATTAACTTTAGGTATTATTATTGTTCTAAATATACATTTCTTCCAGGAGTTTTCCCCCTTCTTTTAAAGGACTAGTATGTGAGAGGTGGCAGATTGTCAAGAGGAAGAATCATTCCTAAATATTGTGACAAAAGCCTCAAGCTGATTTTGAATTTGGCCTAAGGGCACATATTTCAGTTATATCAGATAGTCATATAATGTCAGAGCCAGAGAGCTCATTATGGGTCACTCAGCCCAAACCATAACTTTACAGACTGGCATGTATCTTGTAGATTATTGCAATTTACTCATAGGCCAAAGAAAGAACACCTAGGCAATTTATTCTAAAATCTCACAAACTCAGGTTTCCAGAAAGAATTTTGGCGTGTGGATGTGCGCACGCGTGCACAGAGAACGGGGAGGGGGACTGGGGAGCTTTTAGTGCATTTTGCTATTGAAGAAAGAACAGGTACAAAAGATGCAATGTCAGCATCTGAAGTTACTTGGACTTTTACTAAAAAAAAAAAAAATTTTTTTTTTTTTTTAGTAAAAGTCCAAGTAACTTAAGACTGCAGTATTGAATATCAGCTCTATAAATGTCAAGGATTTTTTTTTTGGGGTGGGGGGGAGGAGGGGGTTTGAGGGTAGGGCGACCAAACTAGAAGCAATCTACCTTCTGTCTTAAATTAAATCCAATAATAGGAAGATTGGGGTCCAAATGGAGAATTCCATCTTCTGGCCACCTTTTGGAATGTATCTATTCCATATTGATGGAGAGAGTGTCTGTCTCGCAAATTTAAAGGATGAGATTGGTAAGGACAAGGTGTGTGTGAGAAAGCTAAAATATATATCATTAGTTTTAGCAGCATATAAAATTCCACACAGAAGACAAACACCTGTAGCCAACTTATCCCAGTTCTAGGGACACAGACAGAGACACATTGTCACAGACACTCACACGCTGTCCTCAGAGCTTGATAGGGACTAGTGGGTGTTAACCCTGCTGAGGTTAGAATCCTTGGGGAAGTTAAAGAAAAGCGTGGCCCCAGTCCTCAGAGACAGTCTATGGAATTGTTCAGAGGAGAAACTCAAAGGCAGCCCTGCTGTGTTTATTATTTTTTTTTTAAGTTCTGCAGTAATTCTGATGAACAGTCCCGGTTGAGAAACACTCATTAAGTCATTTGTTTTAGCCTCCTTTGCCATCCAACTTTCTTTGTTGGCTGGGGTGTTGGAATGGGCCTGACAAACCGGTTTATATGCCTTCATGTTGGTGATAGTGCTAATGACATAGGTAGGCAGCTGGAGAGAGGCTGAGAAAAAGGAAGGGCACATAGGTGGACAGTTTAGGATAGGGACAACAAGACAGTATTAACAATTTTTCTCTTCTTGATGTTTCAGATCCATGAAGTCTTAAAGCAAACGTTAGGTGATGAGCAATTCAGATTGAAATGGGTTGGCTTTGAAGTAAATAAAAAATAGCTCATGTCTACTGATCTGCAGTCTCCTTTTCACACAGTCTTCTCTGGGTTTTGAGTACATTTCCACTTTTTAATTCCGAGGAGTTCAGAATGAAAAATAACTCCACACATGTGAAGAGGCTAACTCAGACCTCCATCAGCACGAAAGAAAATGTCAAATGTAACTGGTATGAAACAAGGGGAGGTGGAGGTATGTGGGAACAATAACTTTGAGAATGACAAGCAAACAACAACAACAACAACAAAATCAAAACAAAAACAAAACCCAAATCCTAAAACAAACTCCATTAATCTCTCTGGGGAGCTGAGAGAGGACAGTAGTGGTTTGGGAAGCCAGGTGGGGCCATGGTTCCAAATAGAGGGGCTGCTTTCTTTACCAGAGACAATCTGTTAGAGGGATTTTAAATTTTCCAGAATGAAGAGTGCTCTGGGGTCTTATAACAAAACCATACTGTATGTTCATGCTATTTGCCCTAAATCTAAATATTTCTTACCTGTACGTTGGGGAATTCTAAGACATTGTTTTTAATGTTAAAATATACCTTCAGAATAATGTTCCTGCATATATATTTTTTCCCTGGTCTTTATCCAGGTGTCCTAATCACCCAGATATACATGCAAGAAATAAGAGAGTAATATGTCACATACCATAGCAACTTTAGTCTGAAATGTTTAAAGTTAAAGTTTATTTGAATTCTTTGTAAGATTATCAATAAAAGACTTCAAACGTATCTATATCTGTACATGTACAAGAACCATCAAAAATTATTCACAGAACAAAAATAAATCTTCTTTAGAACAAACCCAGGTAATGAAATGCAGATATGGATCTCACATGTGGAACAATCTAAGTGCTACCAGCACAAAAATATGGCTTTAAAAATAAAATAAAATCTTGGGTTTTGTTTTTCTAAGGTGTATTTCTCTTTCTTGAAATAAAAAATAAATTATTTAGAGCTATCATTGTAAAATAGTCATGTGTATTAACACACTTTTATTAAGGCCCTGGAGATGAAAAAAGGAAAGCCAATTTAAAAGGTAAATTCCTCACAGGTGTGGTTCAGGCTAATGTGCTGCTGTCTGCTTGAGTTAATTTTAACATAACTAGGGAATGTCTAAGCACCAGTCAAAATTTAAGCTTTGCTATTTATTTCAACTTCTCTGCAGGACAAGGGGCTACTGACTCACCTAGCATTTAATCTTTTGGTGACCTGGAAATTGAAATTTTTCCCTTGGGAGTTTAGAAATGACACAGATATGCTATTTATACACAAATGTGCACCCCCACACAGATGATGGAGGCTCCTAAAACACAGCTTCTGTGTTAACCTCTCTACAGCAGGTATATCTGCTTCTAGGTCCCAAACTAAAAAATTCCCTAGGGAAAAATGAGGGCATTTGATTGAAAAGTAAGAACTGGGTAGGAAATTAAAATGCATGATGAAATTTGGGCAAAAACTACCATTTTGCTTTCCTTGGGTGGCTTACTGCATTTGCCAAGTCCAGCTGGGTTAGTTATGCAAACACCTGAGGACTAACTGATCAGGAACCAAAACTGCTTCTTTATGGATCCCACTGATCTTCACTGATCTGAATCCAGATCAGCGAGATTCAACGGTCTTTCTATGACACCCTGAGGTATCAATAACGAAACCTAGGGTTCTTGAGACAATGTCAAATCAAATCAATTTCAAGTTACTTTAATATATATATATATATATATATATATATATATACACACACACACACACACACACACACACACACACACAACACATATGGTTCATTTTTTTTAAAAAGGGAACAACTGTCATACAATCTAATAAATGAGAACAAAATCTAAACAACCCAAGAAAGTTTGGGAATCACTGCTCTGTAGGTGGATTAACATTCAGAAAGAGGAAGTCCTAGGATTTGTGTTTTGTGGGTGTGCACGTGGTGTCTGCAGAAACTGTCTCTCCACGTATCTATGTATTTTAAGTGCAGGCAATCTGTAAATCCTCCCGTTTCCTTGAACCTCTGGGCTATTGAGAAGGCTGCTGTGCACAGTCCCCTTTTGGATCATGTTATCTTCCTCAGGTTCTTTCACTCCTCATGAGATATTTATCATATCTCATGCAAATTTCATCACTGTTGTCAAGAGCTCCATAACTGGGTCATGACCACAAGAGAATGCTTCTGGAACTAAAGCAATCACTCAAACACAGAAAGAGATTCTACTTAAAAATTCAACACCCCAGTATATCTTACTTAAAAAACACACCAAAAAAACTGCCCTAGCTAGTTTGGCTGAATGGATAGAGTGTCGGCCTGTGGACTGAAGGGTCTCAGGTTTGATTCCAGTCAAGGGCACATGCCTGAATTGTGGGCTTGATCCCCAGTATGGGACATACAGGAGGCAGCCAATCAATGAGTTTCTCTCATCATTGATGTTTCTATCTCCATCTCCCTCTGAAGTCAATAAAAATATATATTAAAAAAAAAACTAGTAAAATAGGTCTTTCCAATGGACATAGCAATAAAAACAAATTCTTGGGTGACATGAGAGGGAATCCCCTCCTAGTCTGCAGGAGAAGGTGGGTGGAAAGTCAGCGAAGCTGTGGCATGTGCTTCGGAGATGCAGAGTCAGGCCCAGGGACAAAGTCCAGTCTGGTGATAAGACTGGGGCTCAGGGTCATATGGGACTCCATCATCCTTAAGAGGTTTCCTCTCCCAAGTTCAATCCCACAACCAGACTTCCCAGGAACTCCCAAATGGAGATAACTAGAGCTAAACCTAATGAAAGGAAAACAAACACCAATGCAAGCTCACTGGATGGCAACTGTCTCACTCTGGGGCTTCCAAAAGAGAACTGCTCCCAACCTGGTGTACCTCTGTGGACAGGGTGGACAGAATTGCAGATCCACAAGCAAAGACCACAGGTAGACTAGGATGTGAGAAGCCCGACTTCCAAAGTCAAGCTCATTCTCAAGGGCACACAGTGGTCATCACAGAAAATTTTGCTTTCCCTTGCCCTGACAGCATCACAGGGAAAGGTGGCGGCAGCCCAGAAAAAGCTAATTCTGACCAACTCCATGCCAAGTGGAAAAAGCCAAAAGCTACAGCAGCATGGCTACCTCATTTTACCATCTTTCTTGCAGACAGATTGCCCTAGACCCCAACGGCACCTGGGCGATAGAGCCCGGCACACAGACAGAGCTCGAGTTGCCTAGTTACCGCCTCCCCTCTGCAAGCGCTTGGTATATTGCAGAGACTCAGGGAATAGGATGCATTGATGGAAATGTAACTCCTTTGGCCCATTGATATAAAAGGGTTATATTCAGCTCTTTTCCTGAATCCTATCAGCACTGTTCTAGTCAATGGCTACACTTGATTGGTAGTGGGACAAGCTAAAATTAGTACATGCCCCCTGACCTCCAAATTCCACACAATCCTGTTCTCTGCAGTGCACACAATGTGGCGATGTGCTGGGTAGAAATGCAAGGCAGGGCCATCTGAGTCCACCCACTTCTTCCCCATGTCTCTCCTCCCATTTGCACACAGGCTGGTACCTACTGGGGCCGAGCAAGGCCAATGAAGCTATATCTCCTTAAAAAGTCAGCTGTTTCTGCCTTCTTCCATACTTGAGGGGGGAAAAAGCCTTTCAGAATAAGCTCTACAGATTGCAGTATTTTCTAAAGAAAAAATTAAAAAAAATATTTGTATTGAAACAGACTCAAAGGATAAACTAACATTTAACATCTGGCAACAGCTCTGAACTTCTAGCTTATGTCTAACTTTATTATTTTTTATTTTCTTCATTCGAGATAACCTGATAATAGAGGGCTGCATAATCTATCCAAACATTGAGCATTTAATCTTCCAAAGTAGGCAGCTCTAAGGAGCTCCCACATGCCAACAAGATAAACTGCATCCACCAAAAACACAACTGATGTTTTGTGTCTAGGCCCCTAGGACAGGTTAAGTTTATCAGCCGTCTGTAACCCATAACCAACACCTGGGAGCTTCCGAACCTCAAGCAGCACATCACCCTTGTTACATACGTAAGGACCTTGACACTAACAAACTTTTGCCAGGTTTTCTGCAGCACAATTAAAGGCTTTTTATGAAGAATGAATTAGAATTAAACCTGGCTAGAGCTGAGAAACAGTGGACCTATGTTTATGTTATCCTTTCCCAACGAAGGGCACAACTGCAGAATTGGTTATCCCCACCCCCATTTAAATAAGTGATTTTGACTACAGTGTGCCCTCAGATTGGAGAGGAGAGAGAAGAATTTATAAAATAACTACCATATTCAAGAAAATACATGGGTACCAAACATGTGGGCATGAGGTCTGCAGATCAGATAAGCACTGTGAGAAACTCCTGTTTGAGGTTTCTGACCGGACTGGCACAAATGGGAGTGTTATGAAGGAAAATGCTTTAAAAGTTCGTGGGTTGGGTGGCTGCTGAGATACAAGGACCAACACAGAGCCCACCTGAGAGAGGGTAGCGCTAAAGTGTCAGAACATAAGTTGGGGCACAGCGGAAGGGACTCGGGGCCGCTGTCTAGGCTTCACTCAAAAGAGGACCCAATAGATAAATATTCTCCTGTTCCCTTCCAAATATTCTGTTATGTAGAAACACTCACTCCTGCACAGGGCTCCCTCCAGTCTTTCTTCCTTTTTAAAAATTTCCTTCACGTTTACCATTTAAAAGAGCATTAACTTGAGAAATGTTCTCTACCAAATGAAATAACTCCTTATATCTTGCTTAAAGAGATTCAACACCCTTTTAACATGATATCTCACAGCACAGAAGGCATGAATGAGTTCTATTTGTGTGTTTATATGTACACATGTGTGAATATATATGTATATATATTTGTATATCTAATGGCTAATATGTAACATTCTATGCTTCTGATAATCAGGGTTGCATTCAAGATGACAATTCACACTTTTGGAAAAAAGGAAAACAATCAGCTTCCACGACTGTTTCTGTCCTACACTAAAGCCAAGGATGACTGCTGGTGAGACAGTAATCATTGACAATCTACTGAGAGCCTGGGGCAACACACAGAACGCGCTGCCCTCCCGCTTAGGGTTTCTTTTCTTACAAGAGGAGTCAGCACTTTTCAGAGTGATGCTTCAGATCTGGATTTCCTTCCCAAATTTTACTTAAGTGATTAAAGGACCAACTTAAAAGTTAAATATTGAGATAAGATTACCCTGCCTAGAGACTTGCTAGTATAATGAATAAAATCTTTATCCCAAATAAAAATTATAATTTACAAATAGAAAATGTTTTGTTTTTAAGTCGGAAATAGTCAGAGATTCCTGCTATGGTATGGTTAGCCCTTTTCTGTGCGGAAGAAAGGGTATTTGCTTTGGATGGTTTATGGACAGCATATTGGAAGAACCTCTCCAGAGGAGAGTAAACCCTGTGGGTGACGCTGATGCCACCATGAGGGAGGGAAGGGCAGTGGGTGTGGGAAGGTGGAGATGGTGTGTAGAGACACAAATATTTATAGTTTTGTAAACTCTAAAGAGGAAAGAGAACACCCTTTATTACAACTGGGGTAAAAAAAAAAACAGCCCCCTATCTAAAATGGAAAATTCCCATCTGCTATAGACAGAAAGGATAAAACATCAACAGGAGTTCAACAGAACTCACTCCTAAAGTCCAGTTTTGAGGCAAGAGCTCTCGTCTGTGTCCTCTGAAGCAGCGTTTCCCCAAAGTGGAGTAGCTGTCCTTCCAGAGCCAGTCTTGGTTGGTCAGTGGGATTAAATGTTTTGTTTAGACCTTAGTATTTGCATGTTTTCCTAAAGGACCAGGGGGCCGGAGAGGGATTTTTCTTAAACTGGCAGATGAATCCCTGAAAAATTCACTCTGACAATGTTCTATTGTACACCGTGAGCTTCTTCTACCAGACAGACAGACACTGGGTCTCTCCCTACTGACCCACTGGGCTCATTTCTCACTCATACAACTAACAACTGCAGTGCTTTCAATAAGAGGAAAACAATAATAAAAACAGCAATAATTAAAAAGGTAATCTACATTATTAACTTCCTTTGGGTATATTACAGTGGTATTTTCTGTACATGGCCCAGAACTAAGTCCCCTGTGTACACAGAGACGTGGGGGGAAAGCATTGACCTCGGGAGTCTTCGCCTTATGCCCTGAAAGACAAGGCTCCTTTTTCAATTGAGAGTTTCTCACCTCACTGCTGTTCTGAAGTAGCAACATTCTGTAAACCTGGTGGGGCTGGGGGAAGGGCAGGGGACAGGAGAGCGGGGACATTTCCTTCTGTCTCCTCCCACAGTCTGTCTAGTCACCAAGGCCGTCAGCAGCTGCTGTTTTTGAATTCACCATTCTCCGTGATGGAAAGCTTGGTGGGGTTGGTGGGAGAGAGGCCATTTCGGACCTGCATGCTGTACCGCTCCTTCACCTGGGTCAGCGCGCTCATCAGTCTGGTGTTGGCCGAATCCAGGGACACGATCCGTTTTTCCTACAACACACCAATCATGGCTTTAGTCCGGCTCCACACAGGAAATCACACCATAATACTCTTTAGAATGACTGTTCTAACACTTTCTATCACACCGCTGCACGCAGGATGCTTTCTGGATCGATGGAACGTCTCTGCCTCTTTCTGCACACCGAGTCCAACGGGTCTGTGCTTATTTTCTCTTGTTGTCCTGTCAGCATAGCAGGATGTGTTATTAATAATCCCGCAGGTCTCTAAGACATCATGGTAAAGTGACACCATGTGTTACTTCAGACTATGCAACACAGGGTCAAGCTGCCCGACTGTATTCAGTGCTTTTGGTCAAATTTAAAACATGGACATTGGATGGCAGAGAAAGAAGCACCAGAGGTTTCATTTCACAGAGAGGTGCAAGTGATCTGTGGGTCCTTAGCCCCCAAAGAGGGCACATCAGTCGTATTTGCAGAGAACTCACATTGTGCTCAAGATAAGAACAACACATGGTGGCAGCTTATAGTCACCAACAAAGTGAGGATGCAACACACAAGAGGGGGGAAAGCAGCCAAAAGCTCAGACCAGGGAGTTACTTGGATACAGGTAGGGAGGTGTGGCCGAGAGGGGTGCCATAAACATAACACATGAAAACAAACAGAGAACACAAGCTCCTGGACTCATTCCAGCTCAGAGTTACTCCAGGAAAGCTACCCAACATGGAGAGTGCTTTCATTTTAGTTTTGAGTCTCTGAAAAACAACAACACACGCTTTAGAACCAGTATTTTGGAGCCAAAGGGTGTTGAATACACACACATTAAAAAAATAAAAAAGAAAGAAAACCTGAGGGGGGAGGAAAAGCTCCGCCCCCACAAAAAAGCATCTCAAGAAAAGTAGGGCCATCTAAATTAAAAATAATAATAATAATAATAAAAAAAATCACCCTACCAGCGAGGAAAATCATTCCATAAGTGAAATGCCCATAAAATTAAAAAGAAAATGGCAAATGAGGAACAATCCCCAAAGCCAAAAGAAGCTTTCCTACCCCGAAGCTTCTGCATTTATGGGGAAAAGCATGGTGAGGTGAGTCACGGTCGGGCTTGGAGAGTACAGGAGGACTGAGGCTTTGGTGCTGCTCCTTGCTGTTGAAGCCAGCAACACAGGGCCCATGGGAGCTCTGTAGGGAACTCACTGCAGCAGATACAGAGTGAAGACCACTGCCCAAGGAGTGGGGGATGGGGGATTTAGGTAAAAGTACAGACACAGCATCAAATGATGCTTCCCTACTGTGGGATGGGGCAGGGATCTGTAAGGCAGCAGGGTGGTGGTCATAGTCTCAACAGTATAAAAACCAAAACCCAGCTAATGCTTACTATCATTAAAAAAAAAAATTCTTCCTTTCCCTGATGGAGAACTCAGGTGGTAAGAACCCAAAATCAGCATTATTAACTAACCACCAATCTTATATGGTTTTGACATTGGAAGGTGAGTATCTTGTTGGAAGGATAGGCAAAACTCAAAGAAAAAAAGACCCATGAGGCTTTAAAAAATGATATTAAAAAAATTACAGCCAGTGGAATTTACTGGGATAATAAGTATAGATCTTTTCCAAGTCAGCCAGTCGGTAAGGACTGGCCCATGGTTATTAGAAAATAAGGACTGGGAGCCAAATCTGATGTTTTACCCTATGATCCCTACACAGGAAAACATAATTTCTTAAAATAATGAAAAAAGATAATTCAGCATTAGGCTAATCTATAAGGCCCCAATATTAAGGAATATTCATTATACTAGCATATTTCTAGGATTTTTCCAGGTTTATTAAAAAATTAGGCATTATAAAACATCATTTGATTCTTAAAGGGTTACAAAGAGGTTAAGGTTGAATGTAATTATTTATTGACTATAAGAGTAACAACAGAAGCTAAACAACTCCTCTCCCCCAAACCGATAAAGTTTCTAAGTGGAAAAACTCCCTTTTGTAATTCCCCTCAATGCCAACTTCTCAAAATAAAACAAAAAGGAAAAGAAAAAAAAAATCAAATAAGGGATTTTTGAAGTTCGTGTTTAGTTAACAAAAGATGCTCTGACACTGTGATTCTGCCTGGATTGAAAGACAGAACAATCTGGTCCAGGCCTGACAGGAAGGATGTCAAGGGTGGGGAGTCAGGAGCTGGAATGTGTAGGAGGCCAGTGCACTGGGCCAGGGCTGGGAGCTGCTCGGCTAGAGAACGACAGGGTTTACTTGCCTGTTTGAATAATCTCATCTCCATTTAGGACCTGTAATTTAACACAGTGGAGGTATCACTTGCAACAGTACCTAGGCAGCTGCTTGCTTCTCAGAAGAGGAAGCCCTTCTCTGTTCTCCACCTGAGTCACATGGAGAGATCCTGGAGGGGGGTGAAAGGTGGCACAGTCCCTGGACTGATGTTTGAGAAATGTCCCTGAGTACCATCACCAGGCTCCCCGTGGCCATGCTAAAAGGTCCAGGACAGTGGACCCGCCCTCAGCGATGGAGCGCTCATCCTCCCCCTTCCAGTGAGAAAGCGGCTGGCCCAGGCTGGCCTTGTGGCATGAACTGACTCTAGGAGATGGAGAAGCTGAATTCAGGGACAAGCCTTCCCTGTGGGACACAGGGCTGCTGAGAGAGATGAAAACCAGTTCATGGACATCGGGCATAGCATTTTGGGAAATGCTGGGCTCAACTCTAGTATAAGGAAAGATACTATATTCATTTCAGAAATGTTTTTTTTTCTACTAGTGGCACCAAGCCACTCATTACAAATGGAACCGAGGGATGTTCACAATCTCTTACTTTAATAATATTTTAATGGCTCAGTCTGACAACAGCTGGGACTGGGAAACCACCTTTTAAGGAGATTATAATGACTTTAGTGTTTGATTTGTGCTGTGCATGGTACAGTGGTTTCCACATGTGCTCTGGTGGATTTTCCCAGTATTCTTTGGGGATCCACACTGGGCATCTGGTCGAAAATGTACTATACAGTAATGCCTGTGTTGAAATCTGTAAATTGATTATGTTCAGCTAGTTTTGGTGTCATTCGACCTATTATTTGAGAGTGGTTCTTGTTGCTGAGTGGCCAGTAGGAGCAGCTGGAAACTGATCTATAAAAGGTGCCTCTGGTTTCAGCCAAGTAGTCCATTTGAACAATCAAACCATTTGAACACCGCTGTCCTGAGGGATGGACACAAAATATTATCTAACTGAGCTAGACCACAAGTCTGGTGCATTGAGGGTAATATTTCTTCCATTCCTGATCAATGCCACACTCCTGGTCAACAGACAGAAAGTCCTTGTTTTCCAGACCATTTGAGCCCTGATAAATTCAGTTCCCCTTCTTGCTTTCGCCTTCTATCCTAGGGCTCCTACAGCATACCCAGTCATCTAGCCCTAGATGTCAACACAGGGCTGGGGTGGGCTCACAATGCGAAGCTGATGATGAAGCTGTCTTGATGAACAACCGAGAAAAGGGCAATCCTGCATGCAGAGCCACCACTATGACACAGCCACGCTCCCTCTGCTTCAGGCTAACACAATCTCAGGCCGGGTGAAATTATTAAAATTGTCTGTTGTATCTTATTGGAACTAAAACCTCTCCTGGTGTGGTGATTAGAACTCTCCCAGCTTTATACTGCCATACTGAAAATTCCAAAGTGAAAACTTATCAACACTAGTCTTTCTGGCTAAATTGCCCTCTTTCTCCAGTCTGTTTCTCCTAAGCCTCTGGGATGAGTTTTTATAGTACACAGCGAGATGGCCTTGTCTCCAATACCATTCCCTCACTCACCCTGGGGACGCCTGAAAGTTTTTGTCTTTAAAGGACCCTGTAAGATAATTACAACTGAAGTTTCTTCTGCTACTTTAGGAGGTCTATATAGCCAGAAATTACAGAGTTTAAGAGTCCAAAATATTTTGGGAACTATGCTGACAAGGGAGCATCACTCGACTTCCTGGGCAGGTGTCTCCTAAGGAATACAAGGCCCATGGAGCATTCTTCTGATGGCTGTGCTTTCAGCTTCACCCCCAGTGCCTTAAAAACAACTCCACCCAGCACCTAGACTGGAGTTGGCAAGGGCATGTTTTAGAACAATGGGAGCTCTAACACAGACTGACGTGCAGAGAAGAGAGCAGAACATGAAGTCCTTGCTCTCAATTTTATTTTACAGCTGAGGGATATGGTATGTACTTAAGGGTGAGAAATGCACACCGGGCTGGGTTGTCTTCAGGCAGGTGACACTTTCAGTGGGTAGACCAGACAGTCTCAAAATCACACCTGCCTTTTGTGATTTGTTTCGTTCTAAGACATGAGACTATATGTTGCATTGATAAAATGAAAAAGAATTAAGAAACATTTTCTGCCTGCTGGATTTTGTTCTGAACATTGATGTGTCCCTGTGAGGTACTCTTGGCAGTCATCACACCATTGCTGTCACAGGTATAGAGTGAGCAAAGGCCCAGACTGATTTCATCAATCAGAAGAGGCTCTCTAAGCACAGCCAACAACCAAGCAAATTCCAAGCATCAATGCCAAGCCTTGAAACAAAGGATTAAGGAAGGGTACCTTTGATAACCTTGTCTCTCCCCTACAGTTGGGGGCTAGAGGTTGATGGCACAGTGGACGTGACTGACAAGACCGTGAACATCACAGCCAAGCAATGGTCAGTGGAGGTCACAAGCCAGACACATGCAGTTATTTTTCACAGCTATTCCCTTGGAGAACACCCTACTTTCCATAAGGAAAGAAGTACACCCCATCATGCACTAGGTTGAGACCTGTCAAGCAACTGTGCTAAGCACGCTAATACTTTGCTGGGTTAACAGACTTGTCACTAGTAAAAGAAAGGAGAAGTGAGAGATCATATAGAAGTCTTCAAAAGGTAATGGTGAGAACTTCCCAGTGACCCATTTTCCAGTACATGCCTTGGCATGCACAAGGGATGGGAAGCCAGGAAATAACAGTTATTATAAACAAGTGCCTTCTACCAGATTCCGAGCCTGCTTACCTGTGCATCGATTATTTTCTGCTTTGCATCAATAACTGCTTGCATCTCAGCATGATCCTTCTTCAATTCCTCTTCCACAGCCATTAGCCTAGAATGTGGCAGGAAGGACATTTCAGCATCTTCAAAGAGAGGGCTTCATAATGAACACAGAGGACAAGAAATCCAAATTCATCCTAGTTCAATATTTCCACTCCATCCCAATCAGAGATCTGAAACTGTGTGCTCTTTCTTCTCTCCTACCTTGGAATACTCCCAACGTTAATTTCTCTACCTGTGACTAGGTCACTCACATTTTCATCTCTTCTGGGACATTATTTCCATGATCACTTCTTCCCTCAGATCCCCCAGCACAACTCACTTCATCTTAAAATATCAAACCAGTCAACAAAAACCCAACAACTTCCTCTTAAAGGATAGCTGTCAAGTTACCCTGTGACAGCTATCCTTTCTGTTCCTTGCACAGGTTGGTCCTCAAAGAGGACTCTATACTTAGCGGGTCTAGTTTCTTTCTCATCAATCATTTACATCTCACCCCACTGAGGTTTAAACCTCATCAAACTGCCCTCAGTAAGGCTGTCACGGCTGAAACAGCAGACCTCTTCTGTCTTCAGTTTACCTGACCTTCCACAGCTTTTGACAAGATGGAAGCACAGTGGTTACTGAGCATGGACTCTGGAGCTTGAGCCTGGCTTCAAATCTTGGTTGCACTGTGAGGTGACCATGGGCAAGTGACTTAACTTGTTGCTTACTTCTTTATTTGTAAGATGAGAATAGTAATATGCCTACCTCAGACGTTGGCATTAAACAAATTATTACTAACAGATTAAACAATCTGTAAAGGACTCAGAAATGAGCCAGGCCCATAGTAAGTGCTCTGTGAGTATAGGGTAAAATTAACATTCCCTTAGTCTCCCTTGATATCCTTGGCACTCTCTTCTCTTGGTTCTCTTGCCTTCACCAAGAGAGACTTCCTTCCCTGTTTTTGGAAACACTAAGTTAGTCGTGGACACTGAATACTTGGGTTTTTAAAACCCAGTTCTCCTCGAAGGCCTCTTAAGGGCATCATTAAGTTTTTATTTTTCCTAATTGTTACGGTGAAAGAAAACAGACCACCTCTATCTTTAAAGGGAGTGCACAGAGGTCTCCCACTGGGGAAATTTAAGGGACAGAACCAGTCATCACCTTTGTACTAAGTACCATGAACGTACGCAGAGTTGCAAGCGGCACTGCTACCGTTCCTTGAGGAGTGTCTGGCTCCTCTTTCCACCTCTTTGTGTGCCTGGCTACCCACCCCCATGGCCAGGTGACCCGCTAACCTGCTGATGATGCTCTTCATCTGGCTGTCCTTCTCTTCTTGCTGCCGGCGCAGCCGTTCCTCGCTGTCCTCCAGCCGGGCCTTGTACTCCAGCAGCAGCTTCTGCATCTGCTGCTCCTGCACCAGCAGCCGGCGCTCATACTCCTCTAGCCTCCGGCTGGACACTCGCAGGCGCTCCTTCAGTTTAGTGATTTCCTGTTCATACTAGAGGGCAGAAAAAGGAGTTCTGCAAGTTGTAGAATCAGTGATTTGCTTTTGAAAAAAGAAGCCCTCTGAGCTGGATACCGTCCAAGCTGCCATCCCACCTATTGCTGATGTCCTTGAAAATTATCAACAGGCACAAATGGGAATGGAGCTCTGCCCTCCTCCTAAAATTACATTTATATTGTTAACTTGGCATTCCAAATCTATATATTAATGTGTCTCTCTCCACATTAAACTACCAGCTTCTGCAAGCCACATCCAATCTGTGATGGCATCAAATAAGAGTAGGAAAATAAAATGATCAAGCACTCAGAAGCCTGAAAAATCACTTAAAATGAGCCAAAAGCCAGTTGTTGACAAGAGAAAGGTTATGTCATTGCCTTTGTAGTATCTCAGACCGAGATTGGCTCATTGTTCCTTCACTCTATTAGAATCATCCCTGTGGAGAACACCCAACATTTCTATAATGTTAAGCACCACTAAATAAATAACTAGAAATTTATGGCTATTAGATTACTGTTGACTATTGCTTCTTTCTCCCCAACTAGAAAATTATAAAATATTCAGGTCACAAGCATTAAGCCAAAGGTGTACAAGTACTTTAGGGCTGATGGATACTGCCTCTTGGCCCTTTTTATGATGTGGTTCACCTTTCTCAACTTAGTTTTCCTTTCTCAACACACAGGTCTGTTTTCTCGCAAAAGCTTTATAAGAGCAAAGCTTTATATAATTAAATTGCTTACACAGCCCTTTATGTACTGAAGTTGCTGGGTTCGGGGTTTGAGTACACTAGAATGTCAAATTTCTAGGCAAGGTGAGAAGCATAAGCTTTGTTATAGATGGTCTACATAAATTCATTAGGAATTAGTGATAAATCTGTACAATAATTTGTACAATGCAATCTATTTTCACATAATGTTTCATTTAATTGACAATCAGACAATTGGCTTCTTCAATAACATGGTCCTAAATGATGATTTAATCCAGAAGGTCAAAGATGACAAAGTTTGAAGACTGCATCAATGAGCATGTTTTGGGTCATGCTGATAGGTAAGCAGAAGCTAGCTGTCTCTGGTTCTTAATCAAATAAGATAATGCCATACATGGTGTCAAGTTCTTGTTTGATAATTTTTTTCTATGTCAACTTTAAAAACAAAAACAAAAAATGAGTCAATAGATATCTTTAAAAAAAAAATCATCTATAAGACCAAAAGTTCTAGAAAAGACAAAAAGAAAAAACAAACAAAAAATCATTATCAAGTCAGAGAAAGGAAGTTTAGTCTAAGGTAGGGGTGTCGAACTCAATCAGAGAAGGGGCCAAAATCTAAAATCCAGCCTAAATCGCGGGCCGAATGGTTTACTGAACAGTCATAAACTGTCATTGTGATGGAAACGCAGCGGAGTGCAGTGATGACAGCGCGGTGTGGGCCACATTGCAAGGCCTGGCGGGACGGATTTGGCCCGAGGGCCTTGTGTTTGACACATGTGGTCTAAGGGAAATTTGGGTCTTGGATGAAGAGTACCAACCAGTTTACAGAAACCCTATAAGTGCCTAAAATTACTAGAAACTTAAGAGTATTCTCTAAATTAAGGCAACCTACATAAAAAGAAAATAGACTGGTGCCCTCCACCCCAGCTTAATGGATATTTTCTGTATATTTCCACATGAGGACACTATTAGTTATTACTAGTTATTATTCATAGATATGTACATGATGGTCAATATAAGAGGTGGAGCTGAAGCTGGGGAGGGGCAGAGCAGGTCCTTGGCTAGACAACCCTTTTGTGGCCTATCACTGTGAGGCAATAACGTCAATAAAGACAGACTTGGTTCTACCTTCTCAGCATGCTTGGCTTCATCTTGATTTTGCTCAGTTTCTTCCACATCCTCTTCATACTGCCCATTGTTCAGAACCCAGGCTGCTGTCCTCTCTACTGGGGACATTGTGGCAGAGTCCACAGGTGACTGAACCTGCATCAGAAATACTTATTAGCATCCCCAAGACAGCTCATCCACTAGACATGTTTCACAAAGAGAACTAATGTTGGAAGCCATACTATGATCCCTGTTTTCTACTATTCAATAGTAGTTTGAGCTAAAGTAGCCACCAAAACTAATAACAATTTCACTGTTTGGAACTTATTACATCAAGGCAGCTATTTCAATAGCTTTCTGCTTTATACAAGTTAACAAGATGATGCTCGAATAAATTTTCTTTCCCTGTGATTTGTTATGGTGTTGAGTGCCTCAAAATGCACTGCAAACTAACAATACTCCTAAGGACACACTAAGGAGAAACTTTAGCCCCTAAAAACATATTAAAAACAGCAGTTCTTTAGGGTAATCTCAGCTTTAACTGTTAAATGAGAAGCCATAAAAATAAGAGTGGTTTCATTCTACTGGTGATGGTGGTAGCTACTATTATCTCCAGGATTAACAACATCCAATGAATTATGAGACTGTACAATGGGAACTGGGCATTCAGGTCTATTCCTATTTTATTGGTTGAATCTGATTTTCAACCCCTTCCTAATATATCCTAGCACTTTCTGTGGCATTTGGGGGGGAGTAAATAACTGTTGAAAAAATAAGTGACCAATATTAACTATGCCTTGTATTCATGATAAAACCTTAACACAATTATAAAGAGATGAAAAAGTAACATTGAACAAATCAAAATTAGTTTTTTGTGTTAGACTGGAAAAAAATAGAGGTGATTTTTGTTTCAAAATTGTTTTTTTTTGTTGTAATATACTCTTCATATGAAAAAAAACTACCGTATTTTTCAGACCATAAGATGCACTTTTTTCCCCCCAGAAGTGGGGGGAAAAAGTCCCTGCGTCTTATGGTCCAAATATAGCCTACACATATACTTAAAAAAAAAAAGTTTTTTTACTTGCCCGGCTCTGTGTGATCTCTGTGTGCTTGCCCGGCTCTAAAATGGTTCTAAATGCTGCTGTTTACTTTACAGGGTTGATTACATGTGTTTATGACTGTGATGTTGGGTTTTAATGCACATAAAATATTTTAGGACACTATTTGTTTCAGAATCTTTTTTTCTTCATTTCCCTTCTCTAAAAACTGGTTGGTGTGTCTTATGGTCCGAAAAATACGGTACATACTATTTATATTTTTCTCTATTGGTCTTACATGTGCTGGTCTTATTTCCTAATTAGACTGTCAATATTTGAGTTATTAATTAATTAATATTTTAGACAAAATTCATTATAATTTATTACTAAGGGAAAGATGAACTTATTATCTCCAGTTTATAGACAAAGACATTGAAAGAGAGGTTGGTAAGCTATTCAGATCCCACTTTGCTTCGCTGTAGCCTCAGGAAGACTTTTTATGGCCACTGACTTTCAATAGTGGATCATTAAAGAAAATGAAGGATGAAAAAAAAGGGGCAAAAAGTAAAGGAGTAGGAATTCCTACTAAGAACATCTCGCTCTTGAGATAAAGCTGTATAGGGTTTCTCTGGGAACAATCATAATACTACTTTAGGGCAAAAGGGCCTGAGGAACAGTTTCGCTGACCCTATGATTATTCATAGCCTGGCTATGCTGAGGACAACTGAGAAGGAGCAGCTCCCTGGTTCCTTGCTAGTATTTACCATGTATAAATGAGACTTGTTGGTTTCGGCTTCTCCACAGTCTGAAATGGTCAGGTTCCCACCAATGAATAACAACACTTCTGCTATCAACACCAAAGATGGGTGGATTAAATTACTAAGTAAATGCCGAGAGTACTTGAAGAGGTTGGTTTAAGGGAGGGGGTCAACAAATCCAAATGTGAAAACTACAGCCTCATTCCAATAGGCTGGTCAAATACCAAGTTTAAGAGATTCTTCAAATTTGAACTTCTAAGTTTAGGTAACATGCTATATTTGAACAACTCAGACATTGCAGATGAAGAATTTTATATGTACAGAGTACATGATGCATGCAAAACAAAATGAAGAGAAAAATGAGAAAAAATAAATCCACACAGAGGCTGAAAAGGGACAAAAATTAAAGTTTCCTGGGGAAAAAAAAATCCCTCTGTAGATTGTTTTACTGGAATTTTATTTCCTTCCTAGTAAACGGAGGAGACTGAGGCTAGTTACATTGCCAACAATGGCCGCTCCTTTGTGCTCAGATACAAATGGAATTTGCACAGGACAAAGCCACTGATAATTGCGGACGCCTACAGAACAATCCCCACAAAGAAGTCCTCTAGTTTTGGGGAGAGAAGAATTCTCTAACACAATTTGCAATTATAATATGTAAAGGAATTTGCCTGAAAAAATGCGCTGATTATATAGAATTTCAGAGGCTTCATGGGAGTAAGATGAGAAGAGCAAGCAATAAACAGAAAGAAATTTAAAAAAATAACATAAATTCAAAAGAATGAACCATCTGCCTAGAAAAAGCCAGTGTAGAGAAACCAGAAACTTGAACAATCAAAATATAGTGATTTATGGTTTAACTGATATAAGGTGGCAGTATCAGCAAAGGCATAAGCAAAGGTGACTATTTAAAGCTGTGCTTGGACATCTCACTGTGGCTATGCCTCACTTTATGGCAATATAATATGGACATTCTTCAATGCATTAATGGCTGTGATAAAATTTTAAATTGGTTGTTTGGAGACTGTATACATTTATTACTGCCAATAGAAACATGTACTGAGTGCTATGTGATAGGTGTTATATTTTCCTATAGCACAAATATTATAACGAACAATTGAATAATCTGACTGAGTCATGAGTCCTGGGAATTATGACTAGAGGAGGAATGGGTGAGCATTCCTCTCTTCTGTCCAGGGATGGGCTGACATCCACTGTCAACCTTAAAAGTTAGTAGACATCCTTCCCTGTCCTGTCCCTTGCAGGCCGGGCCCCCCCCCCCCCACCTGCCCTCCCCTGCCAACCTGGGTCTCCTCCAACTGTCCTCCCCTGTAGGTCTGATCACCCACAACTGCCCTCCATTGCCAGCCATCTTGTGGTGGCCATCTTGTGTGTTGGAGTGATGGTCAATTTGCATATTGCCTCTTTATTATATAGGAGGGTAATTTTCCTTTTCTTTAAATGAAAATGCTTATTAAATCACATGAACTGGTAAATTTGGAAAAATACAACAAAATAAAACTGAAAAATTTAAGACTGAAGAAAACCTTTATTTCTTAGGAAAGAATGGCTAACTAGGAAGTTTTGCCCAGGAAGTCAGCTACCAGAATCAGCTGAAGTTGGACATGTTTTCCATCCCTTCCTCTTTCTCTGCATCCAAGAATTCTGCAAATGTTCTAATTTTTTAAACAATAATTAAACAATAGTTATCAAAGAAGGAGCAAGGACTCTGATCACAGCAGAATGGAGGCAGAAGCATCCAAATTAGTAAAGGCCTACGTATAAAAATGCAAATATATTAAAGAGATACATTGGGGTTTTATTTTAGTCTCCTCTGACAAGTTATTTATTTGGCTGACAAAGGCCTTTTTTAAATCACAAAGCTTCCTAGTACTTATAAAGTATGATCAGGTTTCAAAAAAATTCAACAAATACAAAACTTTTTAGGAGAAAAATCTTTTTCAGATAAAAGTAAGAAATATTCCTCTCTCTCTCTCTCTTACACACACACACACACACACTCATACATATTCCTAAGGTTTTTAGTTTATTTCAAAGAACAAAATATATATTGTTGCCTCTTGGGAAACCTTTTTATCAAGAAGAAAATATTTTACCAATCTTATATTAATATTGGGTAGGACACCAGCTGGTCTTGTGCTTGTAAAGCAGGGGTGGAGAACCTTTTTACTGCTGAGGGCTATTTGGATATTTATATCATTCACAGACCATACAAAATTATCAACTTAAAAATTAGCCTACTACACTTTGTCAAACATTTAATTAATTCACCCCTAATGCCTTTGCAGGGCCAGACCACATGATTTTGTGGACCTGTGGGCCACAAATTCCCTACGCCAGATGTAAAGAGAAATTATAAAGAAGTTGTAAATGTTTAGAATACTTGTCAACCACCTGTGTTTCTATCCACTCCCTTCCCTCCGCTTTACTTTGTCACTATTGATGTTCAGTTGTTTATTTTCCTAGCGATTTCCAGGAAAAGGCACAAGAGACTTGATATTTCCAGAGGGAGCTGGAGGATGGAATAGGGAATAGTTATATTAAACTCTTGGCTCAGAATACAAAACTTTATTTTGGAAGCTTAAAAAAAATATTTAGGGAGAATTAATGTCCAGGTCCCCAAATACTTTCTAGTTGATTTGGCCTATAGATTCCATAGTTTAAGTGTGTAATTATTCATTCCACATAATGGATCTGTTCTCAGTGCTGAGTGAAGGGAAGGCAAGGCCCCTGGGTGGTTGTTACAGTGTCCTCAGGGTGATGAGTCAAGCTACATTCTGTTGCCTCACCTTACTAGAAGCCTCCCAAACCTTTTATTTCCTCTTCCTATTTAAAAGCGGCAGGAATATTTTTAAATGGAGACCTTGTTAGCAATATGGGGTTTCCCAACAATTTCTACACAGTCCTGAGGAGACAGTTGGACCGGGTAGAAGCCAGGTCATCCAACACTCGCCCTACCTGCTGTGTCTGCTGTCTCTGGATCGCTCTCACTTTGGGGACAGGGCTCTCTCTGGAGGAAGAGGACTGCTGCCGGGACCGGCTTCCATTCTGCACAGGCTCGGCCACCAGGGCTGCCGAGGCCACCGACATGCTCCCCGTGCTCCGTAAGGAAGCACTGTGTGGCAGGGACGGCGCGGCTTTAGCCCGGGCACCCAATCCGGCTTGGTCCATTTTTCGGATCTGCGCCTGCCCAGTACTATTTTGCCGGGGCAGAGCAAGAGGTATGTGCCTGTCTGGCATAGTGTGCCGCCTGGAGAAGTCCTCGCTCTGAGTGCTACGTTTGCTGAAGTCTTCCATGCTGCTATTGCTGGGTCCACTGAGCTTGAAGTCCTCACTGTTACTTTGGCTTCTGGAACTGGCAGTGCTTAGGTTCTCCAAACTGGAATCCACGGAGGTCTTTGGCATTGCTGGGATTGGGTTACTGAGGTGATAGACAGGGTTTTGGAATGACAAGGGCTGGAGGCTGCCTGGCTGGTTCAAGGCCGGGTGCAGGGGCCTTCTGACTTGGGGTGCACTCTGGGGTGTGCTTTGGGTTTCCCGCAGCTGCTTGATGCTGGCGACCTGGGTTATGGAAAGCTGACTTCCGGTCAAGCGCAGAGGCACATCGAGCATGACGGTCGCATGCTCCACTTGAGCAGCGTGCGTGTCCTGGAGGTCCATGAGGGAGATGCTCCGCCCATTAGGAAGGCTACCTTCCTTTTCATCCTTCTCAGAATAAGTCATGCTCTGGGAGGAGGCTTGTTGGACCAGCAATAATGTTTTCCCCCTGAAATAGCTATCTGTGTTGTCCTGGCTTGGAGACTTTAGTTTATGCAAATCACTGTAGAAACAGAAAGAACCCTTAATTACTCTTGAGACACATTCAACATAGTTAAGATTCCTCAATTCAGGCATATGAACTCTTCTGAAGGCTCACAGGCCCAATGCAGATACTTCCATCTAACTCAGATTTCAACCTTACGATTCTCAGAATAAAATCCAACATTTTTAGTTTTTCTCCAAAGATGGTGAATAATACTGTGTATACTACTCCATCACTGTCTTCCATTTTCACTAGCATTCCAACCATTTTCTAGTTTGACTTTAAGCCCTCCCCCGGTATCCCAATTCATATTTAATTTGTTCAAGAGGAGAGGCTCTAAGTGCACAGCCCAAGGGCCCATGCCAAAGGCACAAATCTTGCCAACACAAAGAAAACAAAGTCTAAGCATCAATACTGTGTCTACTGTGTAGCTGAAACTGCCAATTACAAAATGTGTTTAACTGAAGTTCTCCAGATTTCTGAGTGCTATAATATATGAAAATGTCAATTTCATAGAGCCCTTAAGTCTTCTATTAAGCAGGACATAGTTTTTTTTTTGTTTTTTTTTTTTACGGTATTTGTTAAATATAACTTTACAATATCATTCTAGAAAATAAGTATCCTAGATCTTGTGTATTATTATGACAAACAATTGGCTTTATCTCAGATCAGATTATTATTTCCAATTGCTCAAGACTTTAAAGTTTATAAACTCAACACATAAGTTAAAAAATATTTTTGCCAAACCTCTAAGCATTATATCTCTGGGACAGTACTTCAAATTCTCTTTCATACCTGTCAGAAGGGTCTTCAAATATTTTCTGCAGCCCAGAGGAGAGGCTTCCACTGACATTGGGACTGGAGTTATGCTCAGTGAAGCGTCTCAGTTGCTGCTGTATTGGCGTAGGGTTAGTCAGAGACTTGGTGATATCAGCAAGAACTCGAGGGAGAGGTCCCAGTTTTGCCACAGTCGCCTGTAGGAAGGAATTTTCACCCTAATTGGATAATAAGCATTGCGACATCCACCACAGATTGTTTTGGGGACCATGATGCCCATTGATGAATGGGTGTAGTTGGAGGGAAGGGTAGGTGTTTGCATGTGGGAGTGGCAGGTTCATAATGCATTGTTATGGAGCAGCGGAACCATGGCGTCGAGATGGATGGAGGACGCGAAACAAGGTGCAGCAGACATCGAGGAAAGAAAGGAAATAGAAATTAGGATTATGCAAATAAAAATTAAAAGACATGCTCAAAACAACCAAAATATTGCCATTCCAACTAAAATAGGCATGCAAAGCAAACAAAATCTTTGGAAAGCTAGTAGATCAAGCTGGGGGTAGGGTAGGGGGAGGATAGGGGAAGGACCAAATACCTTCTAACCAAAAGGCTAGTGTGATAAAACTTACAAAGAAAAGGGATTATGTGAAGAAAGAAATGCATGCCACATACAAGAAAGTGTTGCATGCAGGGGTCCAACACACAGTTGACATTGCTATCAACTATGCCATTTAATCTTGGGAACCCAAACCTATTATTGCCAACTAGGTTGGCCTAAGCATTACAATTAAAAAAACAAAATCAAAAAAACCAACAACACACACACACAGAAAACTCAAGTAAACTTTCTCTATAAAATATGTCTAAATGTGCTCCTGGTTCCCAGGACCAAACAGAGATAATAATAATAATAATAATAATAATAATAATAATAAAGGAGAAAGTGTATTTACACAGCAAAGCCTGTTAAAAAGACCTTGACCCTGAATAAATCAGGCTTATTTCACAAGAAAACTGTATCTGCATCTCACTGATTCAGCTATTCAACAAAGAATAACTTTTAAGAACTTGTTTTATCCATCTCGTCATTTTTTTCTTTGGGGAATTCTTATTTTCATGGCGTCTTATAGGACCGCTCAACTGATAGGCAGTTTTATATGGCTGCCTAAGGGTCTTCTATGGTTTTTAAATAGCCAAGAGATTCTTCAATCCTGCTCAAATCAGTAGAATGCGTGCTCAAATGTCACCTGGAGGATGCCTTTACATGCTCAACCTTCTTGAGCCACGATTCATTGTCAAGGGATTTACCCTCAGCACAGCTGCAACGTAAAATCCAGCTGGCATTTCTACAAGTATAGAAGGGGTCCTCAAGAATAAGGAATAGTTTCTTATTTTACAATGTTTAAAGCACCCTACCATTTACATTTCCTCAGGAAAGTGGTCTTTATTAATAGGTTTTACACCCCTCAATATTATTGGAACATTTTTAAGGATAATAGAAAAATAAAGGAAAATAAATTCTCATCACAGAAAAATAACTTTGTCTTTTGAAGTTATTCTAACATACCACACCAACATATTTACAAAGTACCTGTAGTAAAGAAAAGCATCAATAAATAATTATTGTAATAAACCTAACCTAAATCTGTTAAGACTATTCTCCATTATAAAACCTATTCCTCTTTGCAAAATCCCAGAAGGAAGAAAATGATAGGCATGGTATATATCTAGTTATTAATATAAAATTCTTATTAAGATTTAATAATAAAATTCTTAGCTTATAGTCAGAAAATAAATGATTAAAAATTATAATTGTTTTCTGTATTCTTAATTTACATCTATAGAGAAAGAAACCACCAGGATTTTCAGATCCCACATAGCTAACTTTGTAGTACTAATAGTTATTTTAAGCCCTCTGACTAGCATAGCAACAAAAAAATTCTCAAGGATAAAGCTGATTAAACATGATAGCCCACCCTTATATTCTGAAGTCCACCCTTTTGTTAGAAATTGCTATATAAAGCTTCATCTCATCTTATTCACATGAATAAGGCCACATACACTAATAATAGATATTAGTTTCTAGGCAAGTTTTTAGATTTGTTATATATACTGTACTTATTTATTTATAGAAATATATACTCCATTAATGCAGATAATTACTTGAAAAATAGGTAAGTAATTTCATGGCTTTCTAGAATTTCTTGGCTTGTAGGGTGCATATTTCACTCAGAAATGACAACCATTTATTCTGAGACTTACAGGACAAAAGGTTGCTTTCAATTAACAGAAAGGTGAGTGCTATCACCCTGTGGATGCTCTGCCAGAATTCAGGTACATTCAAGTTCTCTACCTCCCTTCTCCCTTTACTATTCCAGCCTACTTTACCTTATCGAGCTGGGAAACTACTTCCCACAGTAAGGAATGCAAAACTGAAAGCTCCCGGCCCAGGTCAATGTAACCATCAAAGCCTGGGGTGTTTGAGATGGTGTCTGGATTAGAGATCTCCAAAAGAAAGCGCTTCATTCCACCCCACTCATGTTCTAGAAAATCATTCATGAATGCCATGTATTCTTCTTTGTTACCAAATCTAAAGGAGAGGGAGAGAAAATGACAAAGAACATATTCAGGAAAAGAGAGGTGACCATTTTGAGTTGACTGTACACAGAACTATAAATTGAATATTTAAGTTGTTTCCAATTCTTTTTTGTTATTTATAATAACACCACAATGAAAGTCTTATAACATGAGTGATGAGGATCACTATCATTTCCCAAATTTTAGATCTCATATATTTTTTTGAACAATGTTTTGTAAAAAGGGGTTATGATAGCAACACGTACTTGGCAAAGTTAGCCAGATTCTGAATGACCTTGGCAATTAGAGTCAGAGTCCGAGACGTGCGGTCATCAGGATACTCCTGCATTAGGTTGAACAGACTGGGAGACATGATGGCTGGGCACAGGAAACGCAGGAACAACGAGGCACTGATGAGCCGTTCGCTGATGTCTTGCTTCCCACGGTTCAGGCACTGCTGCTTCCATGATGCAAACACCTCTTTCAGTTCACGAGGAAAAACACTGGGGAAGGAAAAAAAGATCAAAATCTCTAAATACCCAAGGAAACCGCAAGCAATCTCACTCTGGCCCAACACACTTCTGGTCTAGAGCCAGGCAAGGAGGGCCTAGGGGAGACCTTAAATGGTTTGTGGCTGAGAGGTGGTGGAAAATTCACAGAAGCCCAGATGGAGACTAGAAACTCAAAGCTGTAAAGCTCAGGAATTAGTATAAATTTAGTTTTGCAAAGTGGGAAAATGGCATGAGGTTCCTGACTATGCCATCTGGCTTAATCAAGATAACCATAATCTCTCTAAAGACTGTTCATTCAAAATCTTCCAAAATCTCACCAATTGCTGAGGTTGGAGCAATGAGCAAAAATAACTAACACATCTTTTTTTAACACCAGTAAATATCTTAGAAACCCATTTGAGAATGTGGTGTTAATATTGTACATAAACATTGTATTTATGTATATAGTTCAGAAATTCTTGGGCTCACAATGGAGATTTAGATTTTAGACAGGAATGTATTAGGGAAACTGTCTGTTTTCCCCCCTAAGCCCTTCCTTTGGTTGGGAAATAATAGTTAACACCATGATGACTTTTATATAGAAAATGAAAGTTCCAAAGGTGGTGGATGAAGCACTGACACCAGCTCACCAGTAAGAGTTGATGATCTTGCAGAAAGCCAGCTCACAGCACATTTTCAGGTTGCTCTGATGGTCTATCAATTCACTAGATGAACATTTGCTGGGATCCACTTCACAGTTCTCATCTGACTCATACAAAGCTTTGATGAACTCCCCTATGTGAAGAGAGATGACAGACAGAACAATAAATAGGGTCTTCCTAAATAGAACAATAGGGCTTAAGATTCCTGTCCTAAAATGCATAATGGGGAATCTTTCTGAGATCTGACAGGGAGGATACAAAAGACTGTTCATGAAGGGTCACTGCTTTGGAAACCAAAAGTTATCACCTCCAAAATATCATGTTTATTTTCTTTACCCTGGAGATGGAAAAACAGCAATCACCAGCATCATCATCATCATCATCATCATCACCATTATATTTACAAAAATAACAATGATACTACTATCAACAATTACTATATAACTTTAAATCTTTTATCTGAAACCACAAGTAAATGAGTATAAATTCATTATTTATTATAAGGCCCCTTTACCAAGGGTGAATAGTGTTATTATCTTAGGAGAAAAAATAACCTTGATGACCACACATCTTGGACTTGGACTGTTACTAACTAGCCCACTTAAGGTTTTAACTGCTAATTTTGGTACCAAACATAGATTTGAGTAAGGATGTCTAGACTTACCTCTTGTAATGAGAACAGTCATTCAACACAGCACAAGTTTGTAGCAGAACATCGCTTTATATAATCTGTATTGTTTTTCCAAATAGGTTTAGCTTAGAAGCCCTGTTCATATATCCTATTCTCTAAAAGGATATGCCCAACGTTCTCTGAAAGAACAAGTTCTTACCTTACTTGTTCTTCATTCACCCCATTATCCACCACTATACCTATATATATTCTACTCCATGAGTCACACTGTTTTGTGCTTATTTGTTCATATGTGTGTCTCATCTCTAAGATGAATACCTTTGGAGGTCAGGGACCAGGTTCTACTCATGTTCAGATCCCCAGCATATCAAATAGCTCCTAAAGCATTGCAATTGATCAATACATATTTATGATGCCTGGTGCTATGTGTCCTTGGGTTTTTATAGGCCTTTATGAAAGAGGAGATCTTTCAAAGACCCTTTCAAATATGCTTACATTACTTGATAGGCTCGTGTAGGCTCGTTATAATAGATTTTATGAAAGTAAATAATGATAGCTGTAAAATTAAGTAGCGGCAACGATATAAACAGCATTTTTCCCCCTAGTAAAATGGCTAGTACTGAGGTAAATGAAAGCTTTTAAAAATAGCTATGAGGATGAGAAGTGGTTATTTGAAAGAAAAATGCGTGGAGAACAGGAAACAGTGGTGCACAGAGAAGAAAAAGGGTTTGGAGCCAGTCAGATCTGGGATAAAATCCTGGGCACATTACTTAATGACTGTGGGCCTTGAAAAGTCACTTAACTAGTCTAAGCTTCAGCTGCCATATTTGGAGAACAGCATAATGACTCCCATTCTACAGAGCTGTGGTGAGGATCTGAAATAATGCATGAAAAAAAAGTGTTTAATATGGTGCCTGGCATTTTGGAGGGACTCCATACAATAAGTATTGTTATTTGCAAACCAGGCAACTTTAAAATAGTTTTTCATAAAGTAAAATAACTAAAACTATAATAGTAAAAGGTTTCTCAAAGTGTTTACCAAAAGATTTGTATTTGACATGCTCTCAAAGTCTCTATGCTATGTGCTTCTATACTATTTATCCCTTTTAAAGAGTATCTAAATTTAAAATCAAGTCATAACTGTCATATATTCCATGTAAAAACTGACCCACCTTTAGATGATTTATATTATAAATATTCTATTTAGTGAGTTCCTTAAGGTTATACCATCCTGGGGGAATAGTACCAATATTAATAAATAATTTGTGATTTTTAAGAATATTTTTCTTTTATTCTTCAAGAAAAAGAGCCAAATAAATCAAGGGTCTGGAAGTAAATTGTCTAAAATTGCAGCCTAAAATTATCCCCCCTCCCCATTATGATATATTTACAATTCTCCAAAACAGAGAAAATTATTTTTACTTTTGAAACTATAACTCATGTCTGATAATGTGGAAAGTACCACATTGAAAGGTGAACCTTTTATAGGTTTATATCCAGAAGCTGCTTACCCAATAAAAAAAATAACTCAGACAAAAAGAAAATATTACTGAGACAGATTCAACAATCCATTTACATTTGCTCTCTTGCTGTTCCTCCACTGGTGAGTATTCAGAGACTTCTTTAAGCCAAATCTTGAATAACACTTTAATCAGCTAGACCTAGTAAACAACACCCAGAAGTTTAGCCTAATTTGTTTGTCTCATGAGGATGAAATAACTTAAAATCAAAGGGGAAGAAAAGAAAATGTTTTCCTTCTCCATACCCAAGGCATCATGAAGATACTGTTGTCCCACCAACTTGAGGTATTCCTCAATGGACTTGGTGGCAATGGTATTCTCTCTGAAGATCAAGACATCATGTTCTCCACAACGATCCACCTCAGACATCACCAAGTCCGTCAGAAAATCCTGGTAGAATAATGTTCAATCAGGCAGAAAGCAACTGAATAAATAATATACATCAGAAGAGACTGATGAAATATCAGACATCCTGGGAACCCTGCTTTAAAACTAAAGCTACCAGATTCATTTGAAAGAAAAAAGTTAAGTCAGGATAAACTGTTAGGTGTCACCACCCCTAAGTTTAAAATTCCTTCACAGATTTTTCCATTGCACTTGAATAAGGACCATAATTTTGAGTGCAGCTGACAAGTATCCATATGTTCTGGTTTCTGTCCACCTTCCTAGCCTCATCTTGTGCCACTCTCTCTGTATTCTGCTCCAGCCTCAAGGGCCTCCCTTACAGGTCCTTGAACACACCAAGTCTTTTTTAACACACAGTGCTGTCCATTCACCACAAATTTTGTACAAATGCTGCCCTCAGTATTGCTTCATTCACCCCATCATCCCTGCCCCGACTGTCATGAAGTAAATTCCTGGGATCTTTTATATCTTAGTTCATACATCCTTTCCTCAGTGAAGTCTACTCTGACCATCACCACCATGAACCCCATTAAGTCAAGTCCCCATAGCGCACTGCTCAGTATTTCTCACTCTAATTACAGTTTTTATTTCTGTAATTACTTGATTAATATCTATTTCCTCTAAAAGACAGTAAGCCCCATGAGGTGGGAGACAGTGTCTATTTTTGTTCTCCTCTATATTTTTAAGCATTTAACAGTTTCTGCACATATTAAGTATTCAATATCTAACAATTGCAAATTGGTCCACAGTATCAACATGAAATTTCTTGAACTCAATACTTTAACTTATTTTCTAGGCAGTCTGTCTGCTACACCTCCACCCTCAATCCATCCACGGAGAAGGAAGGCATGATGAGAAATAAAATTCATAAGAAACAGCTGCTTCATTTATTAGTGGTCTTAAAGAACATGTTTATGTTCAGTTTGAAATATGATATCAAATATTTTAAATGTTATGTATTCACTGGATATATCAGGGGATACTCGGATTTATTTTAAAATTAAGCACTTTAAACATCAATGGGATTTACTCTGGAGCACTTTTAAGTGTGTAAAAAAGTTATTGACTTAGGAATCACTATTTAAACTCTTAGGCTAAGGGGCAGGAGGAAACTTCTGAAAGTGATGGTTGTAACATTCAATATCTTGATTATGCTGGTGGTTTCAGTGGGAGCATCATCTGTCAAAAATCATTTAATTTTTCACTTTAAATGGGTATAGTTTACTAATTGTAAATTATACCTCAATAAGGTTGTTTTAAAAATTCTGGATATATCCTGAACTTTGAACTACTAAAAAGCAGAAAGAACATACCTTACAATTTCAAAGATGACAATTAAAATTTCAGTGATATCTCACCCCAAATTCTTGAGCTTTTTAATGCCAGAAAACTAAAGGTTACCATCAGAGAATCCAACCACAAAAATTATAATCAATAGGAAGGCAGTAAGATAAGGGACTAATTGTTGAATATATCAGCATATTCTGATTTATATCAAGAAAGCGTAATAGCACTTTTGTAAATAAATTATTTTATCTGTGAATGCCTCTAGGTCTGAAACACAATTTTACTGTGGCCAATTTGTATATAATGTAATAGTGACTCAGCCTAATGAAGTGGATATGCCTCATAGAGGTGATAATTACTCTAGTTCAGGCTGATCAAAGACTATCTATCATTTGCTTGTTGTTCTTCATACAATTAGCACATTTCTCTTCCTTCATCTTCCTAAATTTTTACTTTTATCCAGGATGAAATATGATTCATATTATACCAATTATATAACATACCTTGCTATTTTTATTTCAAATATAGATTTTTAATCCCATGAAGAGGCTTGCTAATACCCAGACTGCTTCTGGAATACCTGCTTCTGTGACCAGGGGCTATGTCACCGGTTAATCTCAACTCAGACAAGATACAGTGAGGAGTAAAACCACTGTAAGAAACATCCTTGAATGTACTGTGGGATTATCACACCCATATCATATATTTTTCAGACAATAAAGAACTAGCTGTGGTATCTATCTTCAATGCAAATGAACTTTAAATATTTGAGATCTCTCCATTTCATTCCTTTAGTTTTATAATCTCTTATCGTTTCTGGATTTAAGAACTGCGAACTGCTAATAGGTTTCCTTCTCAATTCTTTTTTCCTTTTTTGAGCATTAGCAATAAGCATTTCTCTAATATACATCTCCACAGTATCATAATTTGGTTTCTTCATACAAAGAAGGAAAGAAGCTTTGGGTAATGTAAACCTTCTTTCCACTTACCTTGGCTCTGCCAGTACTTTGAAGAATGTGCACTAAGGCACAAGCCAGCTCCTCTTTATTTCTCACACTAATTACTGGTTCAAGGACAGAACATAGCATGGTATAGTTGCTGGTGACAAATTCTGCAAATTCTTTGTACTGTTCCATAGGCAGAATGGTGATAGTTTGGAAACGTGATTTAATCCGAATAGAAGGTCCTCCTGTCTTTCCTTTGTTCGGTGTAGGTGTACTCACTGGATACCACTTTTCTACAAATTGGCGACCAGTCACACTGGCAGAGGGGATGTTGACTAGTCCTACATAATTATTCTTGTCCTTCTTTTTCTTTTTTTCCACATCTTTATAAATGTGAACTGTGATGCTATGAAGAGGTGGAAGGCTGTAGAATTCAAAATGTTCGCCCCAGAAAATATTGTCTGCTTTGGTCTTGCTGGTTGTACGAGCAAAGAGGGTATCATCAAGGCACAGTTCACAGAAATATTTTTTTTTAGGGGCAAGGTCCTTAGCTTCAATGATCCATAAACGAAGAACATTTTCAGCTCGTCTGCAATTGTCCTATAAAGAAGTAATAAATCTAAGTTTGAGAGCTGAAATCCCAGAAAGACAACATTTTCCTTTTGAAATAGGTGATGCTGCTTATATATTTTATTATGAGTAATCCTATATAATAAAAGCCTAACATGCTAAGTATCCGGTCGTCTGTTCAATCAATCAAAGTATACTATGCTAATGACATGCTAAAACCTCTCAACTGCTTGCTATGACATGCCCTGACCACCAGGGGGCAGATGCTCAGACTGGTAGGTTAGCTTGCTGCTGGGGTCTGGCCGATTGGGACTGAACGAGATGGGCTGGACATCCCTGGAGCACTCCTGTGGTCCCTCCCCGGCTGGCCAACCTCCTGCGTCCCTCCCTGGCCCTGATTGTGCACCAATGGGGTCCCTCGGCCTGGCCTGTGCCCTCTTGCAATCTGAGGCCCCTCGGAGGATGTAGGAGAGCTGGTTTTGACCCGATCCCGCAGGCCAGGCTGAGGGACTCCATTGGTGTGTGAATTCGTGTGCCATGCCTCTAGTCAGTAAATAATGAAAGGAATTGTTATACCATTGTTTAGGATAATAGGAAACTCTAAACAGAATGTATCAGAATCTTACAGAGCCATATACATTCTATTTTACTTGGATTAAAAATATCATTCTGTAACATAAGTTCTTATGTAGCTAGCCTTGTGGCAACTAGACTGATATCTACAAATAAAAAAGAGATAAGTAGTTAAAAAATTTGTGTTCTAGTCCCATTTCTACCATGTATTAGCTTCTGATTTGGGTAGGTTTCTTAAATTCTGAGTCTTCTTACCTACATTGGTAAAATCATAATAATATCTGCAATAAATATGTTTGAAATGGCAAATGTGTTTAAAAAGTCCTATAAAAATTAAGGTATTATCACTGCATTTCGTTTCTATCAATTTACTACTTATAGTTACACATTTTTTAGACCTCAAAGCCACTATTACCTTATTTGGTTGGACTGTCCTACGAAGGTTTTCCATCCACTTATCTCTTTCTGAAGCGGAGTTACAGCTGAAGCATTTACTTCCACTCAAGTAGGTAACCTTCAACATAAAAGTTAGACATAAGAAAAAGAAACCATAGGGCTTGAGGGCTTTGGTGTCCTAGTTGTATTATTTATGAGTTAAGATAGGTTCTGAACCGAAATCATACTACATGAAACTAGCTTTATGACTTCTATATCTACATCAACATCTACTTTTTGCTTTGTATCCTTACTTATCTCCTAATGAGACAACAAAGACCAGTGAGAATTCAGCTTATGATCCTAAACTGTTCTGAAATACCAAAATTAAAAACCTTTCAGGACACATCTTAAATAAACTGCTAATGAATATGTTCAATTCTGAGAGAGTTAATAAAGAATAACTATAAAGGGAAGAGAGTCTCTAAAACAGCTTATCCAGTTTCTTGGGACTGCTTTTGAGGTATCAGGCTCTATCCCTCCCCTCCTCCGTCTTGTCTGGAACACCACAAACTCAACCTTCACTCATCACCTGTTCCCCAGCTTCCCCTTCTCCAGTTTCCTATAATTGGAGGACCAAAAATAAATAAATAAATAAATTAATTAATTAATTTAAAAAATCACTATCTGGAGAGGAGAGAAAAAGATGAGCGGCATTAGCAGTCACCCTACCAGAGTTAGAAACAGAGGGCCACTGAATCCCCTTACCCCTTGCCCATGTTTAATAAAAACCTTCCACCCAGACCCTATGCACCGTCTCGTCCTCCAAGATTGCCCACTCTCACTTCTGAAGTGCATACTGTCATGTTAATAAATTACTGCGCTTTGCTAAATCTTTCTGTCCTGTTCTTGAATTCCTTCTTGTTCTGTGACAAGGACCTAGATCAGGTTGAGGCCTCCCTGGGTGCCCCCTAGCATCACCTTCATTATAACATTGTGAGATAGTACTAATGAAACTGAAAAGAGTCACCAGTATTGGGTTATTGCCTTTGGAACCTATTTCTCCTCCACTAGGCAACTCACCTGTGATTTTTAGTCTTTAGGAGGTTAACCTGACCACTATTATCACTTTTCTTCAAAAATGGAACATGTGACCTAAATGCCTAGCAGTTGACTCTGGGCTTGGTATACAACCTGTTGCGCTGAGTTTCAAAATACAGGAAGTTCAAGTGCCTTATAATAAAAACACTAACAAGTGACTTGTCCAAATTGCTAAGTGTGCTCACATATTAACTCAATCTCAGATTATAATCTAGTAAATTAGATCAGATTATATATTATTCTGATCTAACATGATAACTACTAGCCACATATGACTAGCGAACACCTGAAATAAATGTAGCTAGTCCAAATTGAAATGCGCTATAAATGTACAATTCACAGGAGATTTTGAAGACTTAGTACCCTCCTCCCTCACAAAAGAATGTAAAAAAAAAACCCCACTTATTGATAAGTTTTGTATTAGTGACATATTGAAATGGTTAAGGACAATTTATTCATTTAAGAAATCAGGCACCTGTAATGTGCCAGGAATTGGGCAAGGTGCTGGGGATTCTAAAAATAAATAAGACATAGTCCTAGGTCTTAAACTACCCATGATACAGTTAGAAAAATTACCATTTGGTCAATTTCCTCTGAGAATCATTAAAATTGAGGCTTAGACTTTTAGGAGAAAAATAACAAGATAGTGTTTGATATCTTTACCAATATTAAAAAACTGAAATACAAATTTAATGTTATTGTTAGTCTTATGGCCTCTGCTGAGAATGTACTAAAGAACTCATTTACTTCAAAAGCAGATTAAGTCAGAAGGAATGAGAAGCCATCAGTGATAACTTTAACCACCAACATAATTAGATTGACAGATTTCCAAGCCTTTTCCCTAGAAGTAGGTAATTTCCAATAACTGAAAACTAGTTAAAGATGATCAAATCATCAATACCATAGTAATAAAATCACAGAATTATTAGATAGAAAATCTGCTTGTTGTTCGACTACTCTTCCTTCTTTCTATACTTTTTTTTTTTTTTTACCTCGAAGCAGAAGTCTTGTCCAAGGATGCTACTATGAAGTGGTTTCACTGACACGGGCTCCCCTCTTCCAAGATCCAGGCACTCCACTGCACTGCATGGGCTCAGCAAGGACTCATGGGAACGGGACTCTTTCAGTTTAGGCAGCCCACGAGACCTAACATAGAAAAAGATGTGTAAGACAGTGTGACTACATGGCCAACAAGGAAGTGACAGTCTAATGCAGTGGCGGCTGACAAGAAATGTATAAATGACTAAGGAAAAAAAATAAATGAGGAGCAAATTAATAGTTAACCTGTAACAATAATAACAGGAAACATATTTATGTGGCGCATATAAATCGTACATATATTTGTGTGTACTCACACACATTTTTTCCTCAATAAAGCAAAAATACATCCCATAATTTTATTAGTCTCAAGGGAGCTCAAAGCTCCAGTACAGATGTTTTTATCCTCACTCCTGTTTGGAGATGGAGAAATATATACTATTCAAGGTTATCTTTATATATTCTTACTTATACAAAGGTATTATCAAAAGACATTTCCCCCCCCAGATTATCCTCTTCTATTACTGATAAAATAGTAGTGGTTAAATTCGCATTCTGTTTCTTTCTGCTTTGGCAGGATAAACACACACACACACACACACACACACACAGAGTCAAAGCCAAGCTTTTCAGCACAAGACCCTGCCTTTCAAAAGGTCTGATTTCCATCTCAATATGACATTCTTTTCTGGCAAGCTTTTGGTTCTATCCATGCTTTACTGTATAAATATGAATAAAGAATAAAATGCCTTGAAGAAACCTCCCACCCACAAAAGAAATGTTCAGGCTCTCATCTAGAAGAACAGTTCTTTGTAAACACCATTCAGGCATCCTGACTTTGTTTCCTAGCTGTTTAAAAAAGAAGGCTGGGAATTATGACTCTTGTCACCACAGGAGCTAGAACTTTACTATCTTCCCCTTGGAGGAATTAGCAAAGTCAATATAAAGCATAATATTTTTGAATCCAGTAATGGAGAGCCATGCAGTTTTACCCAGTAATTATAGTATTTATTGGCTGAAAACCCCACAGTTTTTATATATATAAATAAATGATATATATATATTTTTAGCAGAAGTACCTAGTAATAGGGATAAAAAGAAATGCCTTGTGTGAAGACATTCATTTTTGTAAAACACATTAAATAAGCAGCTTCATTCATTTCCTTAAAATAACCAAGATAACATTAAAAGGAACTGAAATATCAGAAATGTCAGAGTAGCTTTCAGTTAAATTATAAAGTAAAGGTTGCTCTTTCCCTCTGTTTCCTTTCTAACATCATTTAATAAACTCCATATAATAAAAAAAACATTTTAAGCAATAGGATTTTAGTTCATTCTTTCCATACATAAAAAGCCAACCACCATTTAATGTTTAGACTAACAAACGTGTGCTCTGATATTGAGCAGCCTTTTTAAGGTAAAAAAAGGCAATAATTATATTTAGCGTTAATAATACACAAAAGAGTGCACAAAAGCCAACTAATGTTGCAAGAAAGTATGCACAAAAGCCAAAATAATGTTTTATACATAAAAATGTAGCAGCTCCACATTTCCTTTTGTTTTACTGGATAAGATAATGACATGTTATATAATGCAAAGACAGCACAATGATTATAAATAATTAAATGTTAAAATATTTTTACTTTAATGTAATTAGCATACAACTTTCCCACTATGCTTTACAGGAAGCTTGGTTGAGGCAATAGGATACCGTAATCTCTTTTAATCATACAGAAAACAACAATTCCAGCCCGTTTCCCAGGAGGAGTTATTTGGAGGGAAAAAGCCTCACAACAGGAGACCAAAAGGCCTATTTAATATAGAAGGAGGGATGACAAAAGGCTCACTTTTATTTTAAAAATTCTTTAGGAAAATATTGTAAGACAGAAATTAATTTTGTTTCAAACAAAATAAATGTCTACCTACATGAAGCAATTGTACAGCCAACTGGCAGTGCAACCCCAAAGCATAGCGATGCCACATGCCACGGTATAACAAGTCACTCTCTGAACTACATCTCAGAAAACAGCTATCTGTTTAGAAGACAAGAACCAACAGAAGATGGTTTCCCCGCTGCCTTCCCGAATAATGATAACATCTTTGGATCAATGTTTTCCAGGTGTAATTTCAAGTCCTCAATAGAAGCAGAACAGAAAGACAAACAGCAGAACATGAAGTCATCTTCCAAACAGACAGCAAGATCGGTAATATTCCTTCCTCTCTTTCTCAGACTGCATCAGCCCCTTAGGTAACACAAACAAGGTTCCTGGGCTCTCAGCTGGGCCTGTTGCCATGGTGCTACACCTATAAGGAGATTAGAGCTGAAGGCAGTAGGGAGAAGCTGCAGCTTGAAGGACTGACTCAGGAGCATGCTCTGCAAGCCTGACCACTTTAGGGGGGGGGGGGGGGGGGGGAAGGAATGGAAAGGCCTCACCCATTTCCATTAACAATTTCTCATAGTCAAAGGCTATAGGAAAAACTGAGGCAACCTGGAGGTGGAGGAGAATCTCTTTATTAGGAAACAAAGCTGAGAAGTTTTAGCTTGCTTCATTTGATTCCCTGCCTCCTATTAGAAGGTATTTGCTACATCCTACTCTGCAAGTACAATCTTTCTCTTATATTTTTTCTATTTTCTGTGCAGTACTACTTCTAAGGTTTTTAGGTATGATTTTACATTTATCTTATCTGGGTTACACATTCTTTTTTCTTTTAGAAAAAAACTGGGTAAATTTCTTTATTTGCTGAATTTCCAATGCTTAACAAACTTCATTTCAGTACTTAGGTCTAACTTCCAAACACACTATAAACAGATTTTGCGACCAAGTTATTTGGAATTAGAATTCAAAACTCCTCCCAGTTACTGAAATGGCAATTATTAACAGAGTTCAGAATCTTCTATTGTTCACCATTTATGTATGTATGTAGGTATGTGCATATACTAACACCCACCCAATGAACTGAACTCCAAAGTCACTAATATATTCCACATTACTACTGAATAAACAAGCAAGCCCTTCCTGTATTGAGAAGAAAGTATCTCTGCAAAGACAGAAGTAATTCCCAGAGAATTATGAGAGAGATGTCTAACTGCTGGTTTAGGCCCCATCCCCAGGATTGGGCCTAAACCAGAAGTCAGACATCCCCCAAGGAGTCCTGATTGGAGAGGGTGCAGGCTGGGCTGAGGGGACCCCTCCCTCCTGCACCAATTTCATGCACTGGGCCTCTAGTTTATACATAATAGGATCAGTACCCTCAAACCCCCTCTAAATCATGCTTACCATCTCCTGTACCTTCTTCATAAGAATTTATTTTCTTAGATCTGCTAAATAGAGAATATTAGCAGCTGATAAGGCAGCTTATTTACTTCTCCAATGTAAAGCAAAATATGAATTTTTGAGAGAATAAAGGTTTAAAACATTTTTTCCAGTCCATTTTGACAATGACCCTCATTAAAAAAACCTAACCTTGAAAGTGAATCCCTTAAGTCCTTTCCCTGATCCACACCCACATCCTTACCAACTAATGCCAAATACCATATAAGGATAATTCAGGGCTCCAATTTAACTAATATTTCTCGTTTTCATGAAATTGCTTTCCAGAAGTGATATTAGTTCTTAGTAGTTCTTGATTTTTGTCTAAGACCTCCCTCTAGCAATGTTAGATGCTAAGGGTTAAAAATCTAACTGCTTTGCAAATGAAGATTACCTGTAGCTTCTGACCTCTTTAAGCGATAAATTACAGGCTGGAGAGGCTTTCTATTACTACAGTGTGTGATAATTATATTGCTTTAACACACATGCGTATCTGAAGTGAGTCTTAAAAGACAAATGTGAAGGGATGAGGTATGAGGCACCAACACCATTGAATACAGTGATGATGAAGAAAAAGGAGTCAACTTAACTTTGATTAGTACAGTGTTAAGTAAAACACAGCTGGATTTTACTCAGCTTAACAATCCAATTTTTTAAAAAGCCAGATTTCCCCTGAAGCACCAGTAGTGCTTGGATGTGCTAGCTCAATCTGCCACATGTTTAGATTCAGCTCCAAACTTGGGAAACTTTTCATTAAAAATGCTTATTGCCACACAAAATCCTGTACTCTGGTGCAGGTGAATTTCTGCTTGGCTTGGCAGTCCTGACTCCATATTTTGCCACTGAATTCTTGAAGAGGGAGCTCAGCCATAAGTGGGTGAAACAATGTATACTTATATTCAAGTCAGTTTGCCTCACCTGAAAATTTCCCAGATAGTAATTAATAAAATTTGGTTATCCTAACACCAGCAAATTTACACAGGGTCTAATCATTTTTTTAAAAAAAATGCATCTGTGATCTCACTCTGGGAAAACTGTAGCTTTACTTGTTTCCCAATTTCAATTATTTTTCAAACCTGGTATCCAGGAAAACATCCAATTGATGTTTTGTTTGTAAAAGCAGATCCTTTCCTACACCACAATGCTAAAGGTTTCCGTTCATGAATTAAAGGAGAAAGAAATTAAAGTTCATTCACCAGAGTTCTATTTGTGTGTCAAAAAAAAAAAAGAAGAAAAAAAAAAAGGAAGTCCTTCTAGCTGCACTGGGTACCTGCTGCAGTTAAAGCCAGTCCCCACTGCTTATATTACTCACTGCTTTTATGTTAGCTTAAAAGAAACCCACACAACCAGCCACACAAAAAGCTATTTACGGAAACCTAACACACTCCTGATCTTCCTTCTCCCTGTTGTCTGCCTCTAGACAGGATGGTCTAATGAGCCCAGCTGGTAATGGTAAAAAAGGATACTTGTCAGCCTGAGTTGTCACTTAAAATGAACAAACACATGGGAAGGAAATATATCATCATAGACAAAAATGACATTTAAGGTATTTTTGTACAAATACACATATACATACAATGAATTTGGACACAGAAGGAAGAGAAGATTATAAATATTAAAACATGTTCTGGAGGGCAAAAAATTCAACTAGCCTCCAATATGACAATCTCTTTACAGAAATTGTACCATATTCCCTTTTGTCCTTAAATTAAAATGGAATAAACTCTACTATGCCTACTAAACAATTTAATATAAACACAACTATATTGAATTAAAAAACACCCATGAAACTAACCA